GTTATTATCGGTACCTGTAGGTTGATGGTGATGATGGAGATGTTGTTGTGGTGGTGGTTGCAGTTCTTGTATTAGTTGGTTTTGTTGAGGTTGTGGTTGTGGGTGTTGTATATGACCCTCTTGAGGACTATTTACTTTTGCAACACCTACTTCATTCAGTTCTTCTTGATTTTGGGGTTTTGACACACGTTGTTTACGTGTTGTCAATCTTGTAGTTGTATCATTATTTGTGGTCTCTGTTTCACTGACTATTCTCGATTTCTTTCGCCTTGGTTCAACGTCATCAACAATTGGAGAATCACGAGTTCTTGATTCGTGACTTATCGTCGCATACTTGCCATCAAAATTATCGTCATCCTTATTACCCATTAAATTCAACGTTTCAAACTCGTTTGTCTGTTCAGTACTTCCGTTATTATTCCTGGAAGACAACATTGCTGATGATGCCGAAGACGATGATGATGATGATGTGGAAGTATGTGCGTTACCTCTACCATTGACAATAGTTGTACCAGGAGTTTCACTCAATAAATTTGTATTACTTGAAGTAGAACTTGGTTCCCCAGCATGAGTCATCTCATTATTCATACCTGATGACTGTTTCTCTGCATTTGTTTTTCTAGTAATTCCGTGTCGTTTCTTGAATTGACTTAACCAACCATGACTAAAACTGTGTAATCTTTTTGGATCATCAACACCATACTGATGAGCATAAATTGACCAATATTCTCTTAATATAGGCTCAGTAATTGGTTCATTTCTTTCTAATCTTCCAATTACTAATTTATCCATAGCTTTATTTATATCTTCATATTTAAATTTCACTTTACGTCTACTATTTTTAGAAAATTTAAAATCTGATTGATTATATCGTTTTCTCAATTCCTCTTCATGCTTAATCCATTCACTTAATGATGAAGTAGATATGGAGATTTCATCTTTGAATTTTTCAACAGTTTCCAGTTGTGGTCGATCTGATTTATGATAATAATCTAGTATCTGGAGTTTTTGAGCTAATGTTGCCCTGGGAAGTTTACCTGACATTCTAACCAACAACAAAAAAAAAAAAAATAAAAACACTTATACAAGATGTGCTAAAACGAGTGACCGTATCAATTATACACTATTAGAAGAATAATGAGGTATATCTATTGATGTTGTGGTAGTAATTGTGTACTTGTATGAGACTAATTAAAAAAAAATTGAAACTGTCCTGATTTGTTTGTTTTGAGGTGAAATGAGTAATTTGCATATAGGGGAATTAAGAAAGTGAAACGTGGAGAATAGTAATATGAGGATGGTGGATAAGATATTGATAAGTGTAAAATACAAACTATCTTGACAAAGATGTAGAATTGCTTCCGATGTAACTTATCTACAATCACGTTTCGAATGATAATGTAGGTTTATGGGTATAGCCTTCTTTCAAGTTTGATAAAAAGACCAGCATCGAGAGAAAGAGAGAGAGAGAGAGAAAAAAAAAAATCCCCTCTTAACAAAAATATTGGATGCATAATACTACGAGAGATTTTTTTTTTTCCCTTACTGACCATTACATTTTAAGAGAAGACTTTATTTTCAGGTCTCTGTTCAAAGATACTTACTTGTCATTATCAACTCAAATAGTAAAAACCAATAATAAAGGTGTGTATCATTTGTAAAGATATATATGTATATATAAACAATATTATACAAGAAGATGAAAATAGCTCTTCCTCTTCATCTTCCTATCATAATTACCAAAAAAAAAAAAAAAATGAATTTGAAATTCAAAAAGAAAATAAAACATTATAACATGAAAGACAAGTTTTTTTTTTGAAAAAAAAAGTTAATACAAGAATCTGCTTTAATGAGAACCAGCACCTCTACTGACTCTTTCCAAGACAGATTCATAAGCAACTTCAGAAAAGTCAGTACCTTGAACATCAGCAGCAACACCATTCAAAGCTCTTCTCAAAGAATCTTTAGAAGAAGCGTAAACCATCTTGGCTCTAACTGGGGCGGTGTCTGGAGACCAGGTGAAGAAAACAATCTTGGATCTTTTACCTTCAACACCACCAATTTCGTATTCAAAATCGTAAACAGCGTATTTACATTCATTTTCTGGTAATTTTTCCAAAAAGGCATCATAATCAGATTCAGTAGAAGTTTCATCAACAACAATTTGAGTTTTATCGTCATTTAAGGTGAAAATAACAAACTTGTATTTCTTACCCAATTTCAAATCATTGAAAGCAGTTAATGATTCATCGGCAACGGTAACACTATATCAAATCGTCAAGTTAGTAATAAGATCATTATTGTAAAACAATTGATGGTTTGGAGTTGTTTAAACATACCCAGATCTGGACTATACGGAAATGTTAGTATTCGCTGTGTCGTGGGGGAAAGTGTGTGAGAAAGAAAGAACAAAGAAAAAGGAAAAACCATTAAAAAAAAAAACTTCTTCAGTCAATCAATCACTAAATTATTGGTTGATGTTCACCAACAAAAACAACAACATACCATTATAGAATTGATATATTTAGATTTAGAGAATTTATGTGGAATGTAATTATTACAACAAAGAAAAGAAAATGAGAAAAAAAGAAAAAGAAAACGTCCTAGTTGTTGATTTTGTTTTCTCACTTTCACTCTGGCTGTCTCTCTTTCTCTCTTTTAATTTTTTCGTCCGTTTCAAATTTCGCTGGCGTTTTTTTTTTTTTATTTTTTTTTTTTATTTTTGGAAATTTGATTTATTTACACGACAAGCTAATGGGACTATTATCGTATGGCTGATAAGCAAAGAATAACAGTATCCTAGGTCTTCACATATATTATAATCAGTAGGATATGCACGAGTAAAAGAAATTGTAAATAAAACAGTTAAATTTAACAAACAGAATGAAGGCACAACAAAAGTGACGATTTTGATCTCTGGATATTCGTGGATCACACCACAATAGAATATCCATGACAGGAAAGCTTGCCAATTGATATTTCTAAATCGATATTCCTTTATGAACAATTGTACTTTTGTAGCTCACGAATTTTTTTTTTCTAGAATCTTATGATGTGATTTAGTGGACAAAGAAATGTTATGTAAGAATCGTTAATTTCAACTTAACTCATTCAAAGATGACAACATTAATTGAAATCTGTAAAATATACATGATAGATATTACACATTCTAATAATAAAATACTTCGTAACATCAGTTCACAGCTTCGTGTGTCTACCAATGATCGTGACATTCCGCTGAACAAAAGGACCCATATGTATGAACTACAACTTGGTTGATCTTCCTAATGCCAAATCAGTGGCCTTATTAGCCATACCATAACCAGCTTGGTATCCGTATCCACTAGCACCATAATTATGAATCAAAAATTTACCGTGACCAACGACTTCTTTTTCAATTCTGGCACCACCATGTCTACATGGTCTTAATCCAGCCGCAACTCTAAGAATCTGTAAATCCTCAATCTTCTTACCGTATGGATTTTCTTCCAAGATCTTTGGATATAAAGTAGTTGTTCTTTTTAAAACATCAGCTGTTTGTTCCTTTAATGTAGCTGCTGTCCAATCATCTTTTTGGAAATATCCACCCAAAATCAATTGATCTCCCAGGTATGGACGTTTGATAATATATGTTGGTTCTCTATCATCTCCCCAACTCAAAACATTTTCCATAATATGTGGTGCTCTAATGACAACAACTTGTCCCCTAGCAGGGTAGACTCTACTATCTTCAACACCACCAAGAGTTTTTGCACCATTTCCTGTACAGTTAAACACAAATTTGGTTGAATCATAATAAGCTTGAGCAATATGAGTGAGTTTCTTACGAATGAATCTAACGCCTTGTGATTCCAAATATTTTTGAAAATTGGCAATGAATTGAGGACAATTGAAATTCCAAGCTAAAAATTTAATACCAAATTCTGAACCTTGAGGTAAATTCTTGTTGACTTCATAATTGTCTAAATAACTAGACAATGATTGAATTTTAACTTGAGATGGAGTTTGATCCCAATATTCTGCAGATGGATATCTATCCAAACCTTTAGTTTTACCGCCAATGGCTTTTTGAACCTTGTGCAAATTCGTATAAGTATATTTGTCAAATTCTAAAGTTTCTGGATCATCACCAGTGATGCAAGAGAAGTTACCACCAGCATATGGGGAAGTATAATTAATTGATTCATCACCAGGTAAGTATTCTGCAAGTACTGTGATTTCATTACCTTGGACTCCTTTTTCAAGTAAACTGAAAGTGGTGTATAATCCGATAACACCAGCACCAACAACAACGTATTTAGTCATGATTGTAGAGAAAACAAAATTAGTTCAATTCAGCAGTAAATTACCGTGGGTATTTATAGCTTAAAATTCTTTCCCCACTGAAAAAAAAAGAACAGAAAAATCCACCAAGAAAAAAAAGAAATCCCATAGGTTGACTCAATTTGACTCTGAGTGAATCGTTATCGCGATTGCGCTATTCGACCCCCGCGATAAATGCCGAACTACAAAAATGAATAAGATAAGCGAGGATTATAATTTAGCGGGAATAAATTATGTCAAATTAAGGAAAAACAAAAAAAAATGATCTGATTCATTTTTGTTGAATTATAATAATCTGCATGGTGTTAATAAAAACGAGGATGCTGATCAAATAAAGAAAAAAAATAACGACATGGACAGGGTTCGAACCTGCGCGGGCAATGCCCATGGCAAATCCCAGAATAAACCTGGACGCCACGCCTTAACCACTCGGCCACCATATCGACTTATCGACTGATTTTACCGCCGTGAATTTCCAGCGACGGATGGTCATGACAACTAGGCTATGAAACCTAAATTCTCATAAATTCTAAAAACATGGTTCAACACACTCCTTGTTTTCGAAAGCAAATCATGAATTAGTTTTTCTTGATTAATTTAGTAATAGAATGTGTATACGACTCTTACTGAGTTCCTCATGGTTTTAATAATTATAAGAAAGCTCAGGCACATGATATATCCCATATTCAAGTATTGTTTTGATGATTTTAAATTTGAGTAAAAATTAGTTAAAATTCACAAACAAAAGATAATTTTGTTAACAACTGTCTGAAAATCCAAACACTTTCTGTATTTAAACAGACTAAACTTGTTGTAATATACATATTCTATTAAACCATGGTTCACATATGATTAATGAAAAACTTATTAAAGAAAAGAAACAGCCAGTCTGTTGACGTTACTTCCAATATCGAGGTTTTGTGTAACGGTATACCTCCATTTGAACATCAAACTCTAATTCTCAAAACCACTGAGAAAATCACCTATAGCATTTAATCACTAGATTGGTTTCCATAGGGGGAATCATATGTACAACATCTCTCGTATAACTGTGTTTTTACGTCATCACCTTCATCATCATCACTTGGACCAGTTGAAAAAAAAAATATACAAAAAAGTTCTCTCGGCACAGAAAAAAAGTAATAAAAAAAAAAAATCTAACAATTTTCACCAATATCGCCTTCTCCATATTTCACTCCTCCTCGAGTTCCTCTTTAAAATGTTGGAAGCAGATTTATATGAAATTTTAGAAGTAGATAGAAATGCTACTAGTAGTGAAATTAAAAAAGCATATAGGAAGTTAGCATTGAAATATCATCCAGATAAGGTGTCTGAAGAAGAAAGGGAAGAATCAGAAATTAAATTTAAAGAAATTTCTTTTGCTTATGAAGTATTGATAGATGAAACCAAAAGAGAAGAATATGATAGATATGGATCAACTGATGGTTTTGGAGGTGGACCTGATTTCGAATTTACTGGAAATCCATTTGATCAATTTTTTGGCGGCAATGGATATGCAGAATATGGTGGAGATGATTTTTACAATTTTTTCCACAACATGAATGGAGGTGGACAACATCATCACCACCAGCAACAACAACAAAGAGCAAATAGAACTGAAGATGCACACATCGAAGTAGATATAACATTAGAAGAGTTGTACAAGGGTAAAGTTATCAAAACTACATCTACAAGAAATATCATTTGTACTCAATGTAAAGGTCTTGGGGTCAAATCATCATCTGTTGTATCTAAACAATGTGTTACATGTCATGGTGAAGGTTCAGTAAGAAAGATTAAAAGAGTTGGTCCAGGTTTGGTTGCACAAGAATATGCAGAATGTACAACATGTCAAGGTACTGGTAAGATTTACAGAACAAAGGATAAATGTAAACTATGTAAAGGAACCAGAATCATTGAAGAAACCAAGATTTTAGAATTTGAAATACCTAAAGGATCTCCCGATCATGGAATGATTGCTAAAAAGGGTGAATCAGATCAATATCCTGGTAAAACAGCCGGGGATGTCATTTTAGAATATAAATGCAAACCTCATGATGTATTTGAAAGACAAGGGGATGATTTATATACAAAAATTGACATTCCATTAGTTGATGCATTATGTGGATTTTCAAAATTAGTGGCAGTTCACTTGGATGGCAGAGGAATTAAAATAGAAACACCAACAGGGAAGGTAGTTAGACCAGGTGATTATATTAAACTTGCTGGCGAAGGTATGCCAAAATCAGACAATAAAAAGTCTTGGTTTAGTTCTTCAGGTAAAGGTGATCTTTATGTAGAAGTTAACATAGAGTTCCCAAAAGATAATTGGTTTATGGAAAAAAATGATATCACAAAGATCAAGAATATTTTACCAAGTACAACAAAACAAAACGAACATTATGTACCAGAAGCAAGCATGGAATTGTTCACCGATTTTTCAATTGTCAAAGCTAATCAATTACCTAACTACTCAAATGAAGAGGAAACCCATCATGATGGATACTACGAAACTGGTCCACAACCATCTTGTTCTCAACAGTAAAAAAAAAAATAAAAGAAAATAGCGCAACACATTCTTATTTTGTACATAGATATTTATCCTAATAAATTATTTAAATCCTCATTAGTCAAGCCAATTTCTTCATCAGCATCATGGATGATAGCAATATTAGCTGTATTAGTATCTTCTTCTTCTTCTTCACCACCAAAGTCCAATTCAAATGACTTTTCTGCTTGTTCAAACACTTTATCATTTCCATTTAATTCAAAACTATCATTTGGTGTAGAAAAAAACTGTAACTCAGACTCACTCAATGGATCCAGATCATATTTGTTATCGACAGACTTTTTTGGTATCGTTTCAATTGGATCCTGCCAATGTGATTCCACCAAGTTTTCTATATTCTGAAGTCTAGACTTACGTTTCATAGGGTCCACATGATTTCGATTAACATCATCATTTGTAACATAGGACACATGTAATTTGGCAGTGTTAGATGTGATAGTACTCTCCAAATTTCCAATTGGTGATAATTCAGGACTAATATTTTTGTTCAATGAATCAGAAAAAGAACCTGGCATGCTTGAATTTTGACCCAATTCAATTTCATCCTTTAAGGAATCTAATAATATTTTCTTTGCTGGAGGCTGTTCTTCTTGATGAATAGTTGGTTGTTGTTGCTGTTGTTCTTTAAGTTGTTGCAGTGGTGCAGTAAAACCCAAACTTGAATTGGATTTAGTTAATGATGGTGGTCTAGTGTTATTAAATGGTTGTACTGGAATTTTCGAATTTAATGATGATTGTGATCTGTTCAATGTTAAAGAATTTGAATTATGGTTCTTTCCCCCGAGTGGAATTCTTCTACTAGCAAATCCCCTTTGTTGTTGTTGTGATTGTAATTGTGATTGTTGTGGTTTATTGATAGAATCCTTTGTCGAAAGAACTCGAGCATTTTCATCATTCATTAATGCTTTTCTTTTAATTCCCGAAGATTTAATCTCATTCTCTTTATCTTGAATATGATTTAATATACGGTTTGACATCTTCTATATTGTATTTGGGTTTTTATCGAAAGAAAAGTAGAAGAAGAAAGAGTAAAGTGCAAACAAATTTTTTTTTTTTTTCTTTTGGGTTTCATTGAAAGGGGAGGTTTCACTAGAAAACAAAAACAAAGACAAACGAAAAAAAAAAAAAAAAAAAACAAGTAAAACCGCGTCATTCGAACCAAGTTTGGGCATACGCGCTGTCCCATCCACCACGACCAGCAATCGTGTAATCATGTACAAAAAATTGTTCTTACACTGAGAATACGGGAAAGGAAGGGAAGGAAAAAAAAAATTAGTTCATAGAACAGACCGTAATAGCCACAAATCCCTGAGTCAGCATTATAACCAATCGACAAATCTACAGAATATGGCTTTTGAATCACAGTTTATCACTGTGACATCAACGTCTACCATCAAGGTTTCATTTTGGATCTATTTAGTCGATTGGGTTTTAGCATTATTATTGGGCCTTGGTTTTGTATTCTATTTTCATCGGTTGCTAGGGTTCTTATTTTCAGCATTATTCAAAATATTCATATGGCGTCAATACAAGGTCAATATCAATATAGAATCGCTCAAGGTTTCACCTCTTGGTGGCCGTCTATTTGTTAAGAATCTCACTATAGTGACTGCGGATTCCACAGTGTCAATACTAAATCTAACATTTACTTGGAGATATTGGCTATTCAAAATGAATCGATTATCAAATTATTTCTATGAAACCGACTACGAAGCTCCCGAGCTTTCCCAGAAGCAAAATTTAAAACTGCCAACCAGGTTTCTACTATCAATAGATGGACTAGAGGTATTCATGTATAATAGAACTTTTGCATATGATAACATTATAGATATTTTGGAAAAGGGCAATGATGCCTCAAGTGGCGATGAGAAAACAGATCAAGAATCTAGTTCATTTTCATATGACATAAAAAATGGCCATCTAAGGTTTAGAAACAAGAAAGCATCTCCTAATTCAACATCTTCTTTGGATGAGAGTATGAACAAGGATATACCTCAAGATAAGGGAAGTACATCATTAGTGCTTTTACTACAAATATTACCCATTGGTATAAGGATAAAACGTGGGGCTGTAGTTATAGGTAATTCCACTACTCCTTCAATTTTGGTGGCTTCATATAAAGCAGCTAATGGGACAGTAGATGTGGCGAAATCACCAAATTCAGCCGATCCGTATCGTTTACTTTACGACCTTGCTCTTGACAATTTTCAACTTTGGATGAGACCGAACATAAACTATGAAAAATATAGATATGGGGTAGAGGCCCACAAAGAAGACAACATCAAGACAACAGAAGATGTCAATCAAATTACACATATGAGGAAATACAGAAGCTGGTTTCAATTTCAAAGAGCAGCCAAAAATTTACACAGATTATACTACCGACTACTACGAAAAGAACGCCCAGAAGAAACTGAAAAAGAAAATGATATCCATTGGAGAGGGTTGAGACGATATGTTGGTGATGCACAAGATGATTCAGATATGTTTGTATTGCTAAGTTCAGATGATCAATATGCTAAATACAGTCTTATTTTAGATTCCGTTAGTACAAGAATTATTTATTACTATGATTCACCAGGGATGCAGCCTCAAGAAGTCAGCCCAAGAACACTATTACCTCCAGAGCATGGTGTCGAGATTGAAATATCTATGGGTACAATTCATTATGGTCCATGGACAGATAGACAGCGTGTGCCTATACAAAACATGCTTTTCCCACCCATTGCAAGAGACTCAGAACCTACCCGAGGATTTTTAAGTCCCGGAACAAAACGTGATTTTTCTGGGTTTCGTGTCACAATGATTGTTAAAGATGAAGTAATCATCAGAGTTCCAACTAGAGAACCAAGTAAAGATAAAGAGCTTCTTAAAAGTACCAATTCTGTTGACCATTCAAAGAGCTCAAGACCATTTGGTTGGTTGGAAATTAAAGCAGGGGAAGGGTCAAACATTGGAATGTTTTCGTCGTACATTGCCGATGAAAATGGATTCCCAAATATCATGAAAGTTGTCTTGAATGAACCTGAGATCAGGTCTTCTGTAAACCATGATGTTTTATTTATTGCTGATTCACATGAACTCAATGGTAATATTGGATTTCCGTTAGCATGGAATGGGAAATGCACTTGGGATTTTAATCAAGTGAGTTTAAATCCTAGATTGTTTTTCTTGAGGGAGCATACAATGTTGTTTTCAGATTTGTTCACTGATTTTGGTCTGGGTGATCCCCAGCCATATGAATACTTTCGACCATTTGTTTACAATATCAACTGGAAATTTCTCAATTACAAGATTTTTCTCAATGTGAATGATGCTAATATTGTCGATAATCCTTTGGATTTTGATAATAACAAGTATCTATCTTTCCAAGGTGAAGAGTTGGTTTGCGATTTAAACTTGCCAATGAATGGTGTATTTTCAAAATCATCCACCATTAAGTTTAATATTAACACTCCGCATTTTGATCTTATACTTGATACTCCACCGTGGCACACAGTTAATGCGTTCTTGAAAGAATCTAATGTTGTGGGTAGAAGTAATTATTTTATTGTTGATGGTGAGTACACATTCTTTGGTGGAGTAGAGGTGAATACTTCTGATCATGTTGAAATAAGATGTATTGGGGATGAAGTTTCTTTAAAATTTTATGGCTTTGTTATACGGTATTTGTTTACTTTGAAGGATAACTACTTTGGTGATCACATTCATTTTAAAACTTTTGAAGAGTACACAAGTGAAATAAACTCAGATGCACAGAGTCAAGAAGAACAATCCATAAAGGAACCAAATTATTGGAAGATGATTAAAACTGAAAACGATATGGATGTGATAATTACATTTCAAGTTCGAAGCGGTTTGGTGTTATTGCCTTATCACACATACAGTTGTCAGTCGCATATTGGGTTGAATTTCGACATGTTGGATGTGGACATGAGGTTTTTCAATTACTATATGGATATGCAAGTCGATTTCAGTCCAATATCTGCAGTATTTGTTGAGAACTATTATAGTCGAGAGGACCCGTTACTTAGTGTCAACGAGTATGTTAAACTATATTTCAATACAAAAGCAGATATGTGTGTCGATGGGTTCAGTGTTCATTCACATAGAATGTTTGGTGCTCCTCCTGATGAACTTACCTTTTATTGTAAATGGGATTTCAGCTGTGGGGATTGGTTAATAGATAGCCATCCCATGTTTGTGAAAGCAGTAGTAAATGGTATTGCCAATTTTGGAGTTGGGTTCCTGGATGTCGAAAATGCTCTTGGTGTGGCATTTCCACCAGCGTTTGACGCTGCAAATTTCTCATTTCAGTGTCCTAACTTCACTTTTCAATTACGACCAGATGCTCAATCATGTGTCGAGATTCACATGGGAGACTTTTTGTTGTCGCTCAATGATATGACAAATAGAAGATACTCAAGTAGACTTGCAGTTTCTATTCCAACTATTACCATGAAAGTTTTCAAAGGAGAAAGGCTTACTGCATATATGAATACGTCCTTGGTGTTTACAAATATATGTCAAAAAGTGGACATGTTGGAAAGAAGGAGAAAAGCACAAGAGCACGTTCGAAATAGTGACGCACCATTTCACAGAACTCCATTTATTCTTTTGGATGAATACCGAGATGATTTTTATTATGAATCGAAAGGTTGCTTTTTGACACCGGCTTCATTACCACATGCTGCCATGCCATTGACAGAAGAAACTTTCCGTAATTCCAAGAACTTGAAGTTTGATTTTGATGCCGATAGTATTTCGAGTGATTCAGATTATGTGTTCACCGGTAAAATGCCACCCACAAATGACTATAATGAAGAAGATTTTACTCCATCGTATCCCGTTGAATCTGATACTGAATATGATAATCTCATTTTTGAATTAGGTGATGTTGAAGCATTTTGCTCTCCAAAAGCAGTAGAGGTTATTTCTGGGTTATTACAGTCCATGGAGGATTACTCTATAAATACCATTATGGATGAAATTAATGTTCGTACTGTGAATCTATTGAAGGGCTTAATCAAATCAACAAAATCAGTTAAAAATTTCAGAGTTGTGAACCATGAAATTAAGGTTAAGTTTGGAGATTTCGATGTTGCTGACTCAAGAGAGCTCATGCAGATGGTTAAAAAACAAAACACAATTACTCTTCAAATTTTTGATTTATCAGTGGCACTATCCGAAAATGTTAACAAGAGTGTTGTTAATGGTGCAATCTCAAATGAAGAAGAGTTATCATTAGCATTGCATATTAAAGATTTAATCGTGTCAGCATCTCAACCTTTTGAATTCAATGCTGCTGCTCTTTTTAATATTCAGGAGATTGAGTACTGGATGGAACAGAAACAAGATACATTGACTGGATCCGCAAACATCGAGTCTGTGAATATTAGCTTTGATGACCAACAAATGGAATGGCTATCTGGTTACATTCGTAATATGGCTGATACAATTGAGGATATCAATGCAGGGCGTGATGTTATTACAAGAAAGATCAATGCCAGCGCTTGTTTAGTGCATGCTTTAACATTAGCTTCTGTTGATTACTACATTGATCATGACCCAGATGTCTTAACCAGACCAGCGTATATTCTTCGAGCAAAAAAGGAGCACATTCGATTTTTTGATAGTTGGAAAGTGATGGCTCGATTGAGACATATAATTAACAATATTAGTCCAGATTGGAGACGTGAAGCAGATGCTTTACTTAAAAGTAAGAAATATCATTTACCAGATGACGCGTTAGATGAAGTTTGGGAAGTTTTTTCCCAATGGAGGACCTGGGAAGCAAACCAACAAGAAAGAAAAGCAATGTTTAATAGAATTTTCTCCAAGAAAGTCGTTGATAAAGATATTGAAAAGTTACAATTGCAATTTATTCTTGGGCAAATTGTTATTAAACTAGTTTCTGAGTCTACTACGGACTATCTTTCTTTACAAAGGTTTTCCACTACGGTAACTTCAAGATCAAAAGATGAAGAGTCTTATGGGATCAAAAACTTGGATGTTATTATTGGACTTGGTGAATATGACAGTAGTCTTTCAACTTTACTGTTTGATAAAATCAAACTTTTGGAAACCTTCAATAAAAAGCACAGTGCCGATAAACAAAAGAAGAACCTGGTATCTAAAGCATACCACAGCATCAATATTGGTATTGCTGTAAACATTGAATCAGTACGACAACAGATATTGCTTCCTTCAGTTGTGGTAGACGTGCAGGCTAATAATTTAACTTCGATATCTACTTTTAGGGAAGAAATGAGAAGAGTTTCCAATTGTTTACTTTTAGAAAACTTAGAACTTAACGTCTGGGGATCATCTAATCATATTTATTCCCAATCAATGACGGGAACCAGTTGGGTAATCGCCAAAACTAGAGCATTTGAACAAGACTTTTACAAGGTTGATTTTGAATTTCAAAAGATTGGGGTACACTTATTGGATAAAGATTCACAATTCCCATTTGTGTTGGAAACAATTTTGGCCCAGGATGTACCTTATATCAAGAATATTTTCAATATCACCGAGCCTGAACACCACGAGGTCAGTAAAAAACGGTCGTTTAATTACCTGGGATCTATTTATGTTAAAATTGTAGTCCAAGAGTTTAATTGGAGCGTGGCAGTATTAGATCCTTTTTTTATTGGAGGGACATCAATTGGATGTTCTTTTGGAGTTACTAAAGTTGGCGAAGGTTATAAGGTAGACACAAAACATTTGAAAGGTAAATGTAATGTCGACGTCGCTCATCATAATGTTTTAGAAGTGGAGACATCAGATTTTGTCAACAACATAGAAATTGAAACTTGGGATGAGTTGATATTGTTATCACTTGACTCATGTTTGGGTTACGCAAAAGCATTCTGCCCAAGCCTAGTTGCAACGGTAGATTTAGTCAGTGTGAATTTACCAAGATTGGAGAAGAAGATTGAAGAGTTCAAGAGTTTACTAGAAAACAAAGAGCCGCGTGTGGAAGAGGTCAAGCAAGATAAACAAAAGGGAAAAGACATTGTGTTCAAGCTCAATTTTTCAAACGATTACGTTGGTATTTCAACATTCATCAATAAGGCCAAAGTTAGTTTTGAAATTGAATCTACTACAGCGGTTGTTAACAATGTTTCTGAAATCAGGACCAAATCTAACGAGCTCATCACTACAGTTGTTCCACTTTTTGGCGAGCTTTCCATACCGGCTGCACGTCTTTCAATTCTTGAAAAGAGTATACCTATTGGTTTATCAAACTTAATTGATGTTAATTTTGCTGTCAGATTATTAAGTGCTGAGATGCTAGGAGAACTTCAAACATTACAATTCGAGTCACAATACTGCAGAATATGTTTGTCAGAACCAATGCTCTTTAAGCTATTGAAGATAGCCGATGAAATTGGAAAAGTAATTTCAAAGACAACAACATCCGCGACAGTGTCAAGCACATCACCTCCACCACCACAAGAAAAGAAGGATGACCTTGAATCTTCATCAAAGATATCGGATTTGATATTTACAAGAATCGCAACTTTCCAATGTTTGGCATATAACTTTTGTTTAGGTTGGTTGTTCACCGATAAATCAAAGGAGTACCCAGGAATTATCATGGGCGCGGAAAGATTCTTTGCCACTACGGAACCTAACTTGGGTAAATTTACGTTGATGGAGGCGTACCTATCAGTCGCCAATGGTAATCGTACTTCAAATTTCTATAGTACGCTGTCCGAAAAATCCAACTTGAATAGAGCATATTTGCCAAATTTGCAATTTATTTATTTGATAGATCATGGTCCAAATGGGAAGCATTTGCGAATGTCCATGCATGGTGATGAACTTGATGTTAAGTTTTTGTCTACTTCTGTTGTGATTTTTGACAAGTTAGTGAAACTGGCTTCAAAAGTACAATCATACTTGGAAAGACGTGCAAGTCCAATATACCAAGAACTTGATAAAGAACCCACCAAGCCGGGAGAAAGCACACCTTTGTTCAAGAATAGCTTTGATTCCATTGAATATATATCCACTTATGCTGGTTCAAACGTGTTGATCTACCGCCTCCCAGATGATGAGTCCGAAGACACACCTTCCCTTTTCTTGCATTCTCCTGCTGTTAAGATGGCGTTCAAATTTACAAACAATAAGAAACACAAGAAGAAAAATTCGTTGATGGGTGAGATTTTGGCAACTTCATCAGACAATACGTTGTACCCACAATGCGTACCAGTAATTGTCGATCTTGTGTCGGGAATGAAGGGATTAATGCGCAAGTCGAAGAAATCAAGCACTGAGATTGTTATTGTAGAAGAACAGACTAAGAATAATGATTTTATTAGAAATCTTTTGGACGACACAAATATTCATTTTGGTGTAAGAATCGAGAAACAAGGTCTTTCCCTTAGCTGTGAGCCTACAGCTAAAGTTGCTGCTGTGGTTGGTCTTGATGGTATATTTATTCAAGTTAACACGACACAGTCACAGATACCAGCGATTAGTGTTTCATTATTGGTAGATTCAGTCTCAGTTTTATTACAACATATTTATTCGCGAGACATTAGTGCTTCTGCGGCAATTACTGGTATATTGTTCACAAGCACTGTTGAATTTGAAAAAGTGGTTACCTTATTTTCATCCGGATCCATTAGCGATGCCGATGCGTATATCAATATGAAGCAATATCAAGATGTGGATTTATTCAAAGACATCTGGTTTCCTAAGGAGTATAGTGAAGTTTATTCAAGCTTTGTGAACAGTCAATCTGAAGTGGATAGTAGCAAACAAATTAAAGAATCTCCACTGCATGAGTCCTTGAACCAATTGGCATTGGCACAGAACAAGAATATTTCATCTCGATTCAAAGAAGTTTCCGACACGTATGCATTCCCTTGGGTTGTTACATTTGTTGTTTCCAATATAGGTATTCGTGTCGATTTTGGTCAATCGTTGGGTAATTTCAAGTTGGTTATAGGAAATTTCTGGGCAGTATCCAAAAAGTCTATGGAATGGTCACAAGATTTGAAAACAGGTATCGATGAAATTGCGTTGTCGTCTGTGGGTAGACTCGGTGGACATGTCAGTATTAAGAATATTAATTTACATACAGCTATTAGTTGGAGACTTGACCTGGGTGTCACTTTGGATGTTCCATTGATTTTGGTTTCTGGAGGGTTAGAAAAATTCCAGTTGAAGATGTCATTTGATGACCATGTTATTGCTATTGGTAATTTTGAAGAATTTTCGATGGATATTTATAACAAGAAAAGTGAAATTGCTATTGCCAAGGATCACTTGTTTGTGACAACCAAATTCAAGACAGCTGAGATTTATATAACATCATTGACAGCATCCAATTTTGTGGATATCCACAATACAATTTCCAGAATGGTTCAAGATAACAAGCGATCCTACAGAGAAACTCTTCGTGATTCTTCAAAGGGTACTTCTGTGGGCAAAACAATCAAAAAGAAGACGTTCTCAGAAAATGCTATTTTAGAAACAGTTAAGAAATTGGAGACAAGAATCCATGTTTCTGCCGGAAATGTATTGATTCATGTTTATCCGTCAGCTATTAGTGACAACAAGGTTTTGGTAATTAATTTAGATGAGTCACGTGTCAAATTTCAACAAAACGAATATTCAAGTGGTATATCGAATGAATTGGATTTGAAGTTCAACGATTTGAAGGTATCCTTATCATCAATAACACCGCTTCAGGAATCCTTTATTGTTGATGCGCCAGTGACTGAACTTACGGATCAGGCACGTAAGGCCAGCGGTGGTACTATATTTGTCTTCCCATCTTTCAGAATATCTATGAGAACATTCCAGAAATACAATTCGAACTTGATAGAGTACATGTTCCAATCAACATTCAATGGTACTGTTGATATCAGATGGAATTTGGGATCCGTTAATTTTATCAGAGAGATGTACTCCATCCACAGTAAAGCATTAGAGTCAAGAATGGAGTACAGAAGAAAAATGCAACCATTTGATGAAGGTAGAGAGATGTTATCTAAAAGTATTTTAGAGCAGCAATTGAATGCTGAAGACACCACACAAGAAATTGATGATGCCATCAAGGAAACAATTGAAAAAGTGGAGAAATCTTCTAAATACAGATATGTTGCTTTAGCGCCACCAATTATCGAAGCACCACAATTGAAGGAATTGGGAAATGCTACACCGCCATTGGAATGGTTTGGTTTACATAGAAATAAGTTGCCGCACGTGACACATCAATTTGCTATTGTTAGTTTACAAAAGCTTATACATGAGATTGAATCAGAATACTCCAAAATGTTGGGTAAAGCATAAAATTTACAAGATATATTAATATAAATAGTTGTATATTTTGTTTCTTTTTAATATTTACAAGAATTAATGATATTATGATACTTAATGACTCAAGTACCATCTTCCCTTTGCTTTTCTTCTTTCAATAACTTTTCTACCACCAACAGTTCTAAGTCTAGCCAAAAAACCAAACTTTCTCTTTCTCTTTCTAGTGGATGGTTGATATGTGTTACCTCTGGATTTGAATCTTTGTTGCATGAGCCCAACAACTGATTGCAATGGAGAAACTGATATTAATGAGTTTGCAAGTGGACTTGAAAAAGCAGTAGGTCTAGTCGACGCTATGGATGTATTTATGAGACCTCTTGTAGATTGTCTTAATATTGATGAAAACATTTCTTGTTGGTGTAGATTGATGATACCACTTTGTAGATATCTTACAATCGGGTATGAATGAAAATTTTTTGTATTGGTTGGTGAGAAAAAGTAAAAAATAAAAAAAAATCAAAAGCGGAAAAAAAAAAATCATTATAGTCGTGTAGACATCAAACGAGATTTATTTTTCACTCATCTCTTAAGAAATTTATTTTCCCATTACTTCTGTTTAATAGTTTTGATAGATACGGATCATTAATAGAAAACATGTCTACATACAGATCAAGAAGAGTGATTCCTTCTGCTATAAACACCCCAACTTCAATTAGACTCCTCAAGATTAACAATTTGGGTGCATCTGAAGCTGAAAGAGCATTGTCTGAATTTATTGATGCTAGTGAACTAAATATTTCTGGAAAAGCAACCACTGATTTTAACACTACTGGTCTTGCTGGAAACAGTGAAAGTCCAGCTGTTTTATCACAATTAAAAAGAATTCAAAGAAGTTTAAGAGGATTACCTCCTGTTATCAGTGAACAACAATCAGAAAATAAGAGAAGTGCTGATGAAGAAACTGATCGTCCTAATAAGAAAATCAAGTTTGATGAGAGCGAAGACAACACCGAAGAAGTAAAAGAGGAAGAAGACGCCGAAGAACAACCAAAATATGAAGAAGAAGAAGAAGAAGAAGAAGAAGAAGAAGATGACGATGAAGAAGAAAAGGTCCAAGAAGAAGAAGAAGAAAAGGAAGAGGAACCAGTAGAAAAGAAGAAAAGCAAGAAGGACAAATCCAAGAAAGACAAAGAAGACAAGAAAGATAAGAAAAAGAAGAAAAAGCACAGTTAGATGAAATAGAAATCTAGTTATATACATTAACAATAAACAAATGAATAATAAATAAGACAGTTTTTTTTTTTCTTCTAAATCTATTTACCTGGTAAAGCTAATACATTATTTACTTGTTTTGGGAATTCTCTAACGATAATTTCACATTTGACTTCTTTACACAAATCATTTTTATTATAGTAAGGAACTTTATGCAACAAATCTAAACCACTGGATCTTTCTAAAGCATCAATAGGTATTTGGAAACTAGTTAATGGTGTATTGTTATCTATAACATCATTTGGCATAACAAAGGCAGCACAGCTGATTTTATCCGATCCTTTGGTTTCACCAACAATTAATTTAAAGAAATGGGTTGGGACAGCAATATTTGGAGGTGATCCAATAACTTCGTAGGTAACTCTGTATTTCCCATCTTCTCCCTTTTTAGGCAAGTACAAAGGACCGGTCATGATTCTAACATCATCATACTTGTTTGTTAATCTTCTTGCAAAATCTTCAAAATGACTCCAATAATCACGGTTAAATCCATCCCCAACTTGTGGACACATATTAGTTAAAAAGAAAGTTTCATCCATAGCCAATTGGTTGAATTTGGCATCAGCAGCAGGTGCTTGATGACCACGATCATAACCACTACGGAAATAATCACGCAATTTGTTTCTAAATTTAACTGGAATAGCTTCATCTTCCTTGAAAACTGATCTCTTTCTATCACCATTTTGATTTTCTTTAGCAATAGATTCTTTGGTTATGTGTTCAACAACCCAGGTTGGATTTCTAGTAGCTCTATCATAACAACTGACAAATTCACTTCTATTACCTAAATCATGAATTGGACCCGGGAATCCAAATTTGAAGAAACCTTGTGGATTAACAATGGATGGATCAAATACACCATTGGATGGTTTACTGTATTGAACTGGTAAATTTGAGTTTGAAACTGGTTCTTGAGGAGTTGCTGATGATTTACCCCAAAAAAACAATGCAGTACCAACAGTACCCAACCCAAGAGAATTGAAAAGTAGTTTAGAAGACATGTCTTGGTTGTGTGGGAAGTTGTAATAAGTGTGAGAAAAAGTAAGAGGGAAAAGAAAGAAAAATTTTCCTTCTTTATACTCGTGGCATCCAAGACGCGGAATATAAACTGGGGTGTTTTTATTGGACCCAAGGTAGCACATTGTCGGGAAGGAAAACCAACCAGACATAGTTTAAACCAGACCACAATACATGTAACGTGGAAAAAAATTATTAGAACTCTCTTACCAGAATGATCCTATGAGTAGTCTTCAACTTGTAAGTAATTTGCAACCATATGGACTGCTTTTGGCTTAACTTCAAAGCGAGATCATCTCAAATATGCGCACACCAAAAAAAAAAAGAGAAATATAAAAACTTTAGATAAAAAAAATTTCTTTTGCATTGTATTATCATTTATCTGTCGTGATTAACCACCAAGATGCCATCTCAGCAACTACGAAATCCTGAATATAGACCTACTGAAATAATCAAGAAATGTCAAGAACAAGGCCGACCTGCACATATTGCTGGGCCGATGGTTCGTTACTCCAAACTTCCTTTCCGTGAACTTTGCAGATTTTATAATGTTGATATTGTTTATACACCTATGATTTTGGCACGAGAGTTTGTACGTAATGAAACCGCAAGATATACTGATTTTACCACCAATGATATCGATAAATCTGTTATTGTACAGGTTGGTGTTAATAATGTTGAAGATTTCATGAAATTTGTGGATATGATTCACCCATTTGTAGATGCAATTGGAATTAACTGTGGATGCCCTATTAAAGAACAAGTACGTGAAGGTATTGGTGCTGCTTTAATGTCTGAACCCGATTTGGTTGCCGATTTGATTAAAGCTGCCAAAGCAAAATACGGAGAATCCATTTGCATTGATACAAAGATTAGAATTCATAGTGATATTAATCAAACCGTTGAATTTGCCAAAAAAGTAGTTGCCGCAGGTACAGATATGATTACTGTACATGGAAGAACAAAAAGTACCCGATCAACTGTTCCAGTTAATTTAGAAGCCATAAAGATTATTAGAGATAATGTTAAAACTATCCCTGTGATAGCGAATGGTGATTGTTTTACATTAGATGACTGTAATAGAATTGCTGAATTTACTGGAGTTGATGGTGTTATGTCTGCTCGTGGTATCTTAGCCAATCCTGCCTTATTCACTGGGTTGGATAAAACTCCGTGGAGTGCTGTTGAAATGTTTATGCATTTGGCAACCGCGTATGGACTTCCGTATAAACTTGCCCAATATCACGTGGCACACTTATTAGAAGATACCATTCCTAAAAAATACCTAAAAGGAATCAATGAAAAACTCAACATGGTGGATTTAATAGATTATTTGGATGAACATTTTGTATTGAAAAGAAAAGGTGAAAAAGGTTTTGCAACCGACATTGAACCACAATGGAGAATAAACATCGAAAAGTTGGAGATCTAATTCATATTATAAATATATACATTTTGTACATTCTTTTTACTTTACGTGTTATTTACTTTTACATATTCGCGAATATCAATGTTGGCTAATGGAACACTACTACTCTTGTTGTCGACTTTGTAAATACCAACTAATTGTTGTGAAAGTTCAAACATATTATTTCTCAATGAGATAACCACAAACTGAGCATTCTTTGTACGTTCTTTGATATAATTTGCAATAATCGAAACGTTTCTGAAATCCAAAGCAGCATCAATTTCATCCATAACATATAGTGGTGTCGGTTTATATTTATGTAATGCAAACACTAGCGCCAAAGAACTCAATGTCTTTTCACCACCAGATAAATTGGAAATACTTTTCCATGATTTCCTAGGAGGCATAACACTGAAAAGAATACCTTCAGAAAATGGATCTAAACTATCAACCAATTCTAATTCCGCATTACCTCCCATAGTTATCATACCATACATGGATTTTACAGTCATGGAGATTGTGTTGAATCCGACCATAAACTCGTCTAGTCTCTTGCGTTTCAAATCATCACAATAGTTCTTTTTGTTGTCACGTTCTTCAACAGCTTGGTTCAAGTCATTCTTTCTATTAGTATATTCGACAATTTTGATCCCATATTCTTTTAGTATCTCTATGTCTACTTTGACATTGGACATATAGTTTTCCAATTCTTCAATTTCATTATTTATGACTTCTAAATCAGTATCGGCAATTTCTTCTTCTGACAATCTTTCAATCAAAGCACCATTGTACTTTTTCTGTTCTTCCTCTTCTAGCCAAGATATGTATGGCGTGACATCTCGAACAACCAATGCCTCAAGTTCCTGTTCGTTTTCTTTAACAATGTATTGATATTTCTTGAGAGCAGCTGTGCATTTTTCCAACTTATTAGTGAGTTCAATTTCAACCAGCTTGAAGGTATTGAGTTTCTCTTGTTTTTCTTCCAATTCAGATTTGAGTTTTTCCAATTCATCGGCTTTATCATTTTTAACCCTTTCAATTTCTTTGATCTTGTTTATAACTTCTTCAAGCTTTTGAGAAACAACATTTTGAGAATCTTTAACTGTTTCCAAGGTAGCTTCTGCATCTTTCTGTTCTTCTGTTAATGATTCAATCTGTTTGGAATGTCTTTTAATTTCATTTTCTAATTTTTTCACTGCCATTCGATCACCCGAGGTTCTCTCATGAATAATAGCAATTTGCTGTTTAAGTGAATCCACTTTTGAACTTTGGACTTTTAATTCAACACCACCGGCATCCATGATTTTTTGTTCTAAGGCTGAAATTTGCAGTTCATAACCACTCATTTCTGATTTTATTTCTGACCGTTTGGTTTTGAGGTCTTCTAATTCCTTTTGCTTTGCGGATAATTGTTCTTCTAAAGAACTATCTTGCTGTAATTTCTCTTGTTCAGCAATCAAATTCTTACATATGTTTGTCACTTCTTTTTTCTCAGAGACCAAAGCTTCAATATCTAATTGTAACTTGGAAATAGTAAATTCAGTTTCAGGTTTGAGTTTTTTCAATTTATCCAACATGTTCACCTTTTCATTATAATCAGAATTCAATCGATCAAATTCCAGTTCCATTAATTGTAATTTCTTTTTCATTTCATCTAATTCTTCAGCACTCATTACAGCGTTGTTGGCATTTGCTGCATTTGTTAACCTCATTGCTCCCTTGGAAACATAGTTACCACCACCAGACATGGTACCGGAAATATCAATAACATTTCCATCCAATGTTACAACTTTCCATCTTCTAGCACCATAAGCTACTTTTTTAGCTTCTGTTAAATTTGGAGCAACTAATGTATCATAAACTTTACTGTAAAATGCTGGTGCAAATTTTGGGTTTGAAGGACGGATCAAGTCAAATAATCTTTTGACATGACTTGGGTCCCCTGGAGTATGGATAGGAGCCAAATCAAAATTTCTCAACTTGTTTAGACAAATGAAATTTGCATAACCTAACTGATTTTTTCTCAAGTATTCAATACATGCTTGAGCGGTTTCAACAGTTTCCACCACCATGGAATCCAAACCTGGAGCAGCGGTGGATATAGCCACATCATATTTTTCATCAATAGTTCCTAGGTCTCCTAACCTCCCATAGAACCCATCAATTCTACCGGAATTTGCCATTCTAAGCAATGCTGACAAAATTTTGTTCTTATTTTGACTATTCTGGAAAATAGAGGTCGAGTCTTGGGTTCTTTGACGTTGGCTGATCAATTTCGATCTGAATTTTTCCAATTCCTCTTTAGCAGCTGAACACTGTTCATTACCCAAGGAGATTTGCTCGTTGATTTGTTCCAATTTGCTTTTGGTTTCACGAAACTCTGCTTCCTTGTCTTTACCAGATTTTTTGATTTGAGCTAACCTCTCTTTACGTTCTTCCAATTGTTTGGTCACACTATTCATTTGTCCATGTAAAAGATCAATTACGGACTGCGCAAGTTTTATGGCATTTTCTTTCTCCTTTAATTCTGTATTCCAGGGTTCGAGTTTCTCTTGTAACTGTTGGATTTCTTTAGTAAATTCAGCAGTTTTTTCTACCAACCCCAGACGAATCTCATCCAATTTGGATTCTTCAACTTCTAATTGAGTACTTAATTTGTCGATATCTGCTTTGAACTTCTCTGAAGCATCTGCATAATTTGAAAGTTTCTGTTTGGAACTTGTGACTGTATGCTTCAGTGATTCTAAATTCTTTTGAATTTTCTTCAATTTGTTGGAAAGATCTTTTGATTTTTCTTCCAAAGACACATTTTTCTTATTGGTTTCCTTACGTTCCTTTCCAAGGGCATCGATTTTAGAACTCAATTTTTTAACGACTTTTTCAATTTCTTTTTGTGCACTCAACTCGGCCTCTATTCCTTCAAGGATTTCTTTATTGGATTCCCTGTTTTCTTCCAATTGTTTATTCAACTCATCTGATTCACTTTGTTTGATGGAAATTTTCTTTTGACATTCAGAAATATTGACTTGAAATTGTATGCTTTTGAAATTGATTAATTTCTTTTCCAATTCCAAAAACCGAAGTGCTTCAGTTTTCTTTTCTTCCAATTGATCCTTATCTTTTTCAACCAAGTCAAATCTGTTGGCCTTTTCCAAACAAATGTCATTCAATTCATCAATTTGGACCGCACTTTCCTCAATCAATTTCTTATACTTTGTTGTACCAATGATATCTTCAAGATATTCAAGTAAACCATCGCCATTATCACCTTCTCCTTTGGATTTCATTTGTGCAATTGACTCAACTTCACCTTGTAATATAAGAAATCTCTTATGATCTAAATCTATACCTTTGCCTTTCAATAAATTTGTAACTTCGGTGTAGTTACTTGTTTTCCCATTAATATAATACAGTGATTGATTATTCCTGAATGCTTTTCTAGAAATTATCAATTCAGAGTCAGGAACAACCTCAGCTTTTTGAGGAATAACAGGATCATCAATGACCATTTGGAAATGAATATCTACTTGACAAAAATTGACTTCTTTACCACCTGAATTATGAATCAACTCTGATAATTTTCCTTGCCTCATTTTCGATGCTCTGAACCCAAAAACAAACAACATGGAGTCAATAACATTCGACTTACCACTACCATTGGGACCCACTACAGATGAAAATGAGGGATGAAATGGCCCAATTATCTGTGTACCTGCGTATGATTTGAAATTTGTAAGTGCTAACTGGCGAATGACCAATCGCGGTTCATTTGTAGGAGTATGTGGTTTGTGATCCTGCGACGCGGTAGTTTGCTGTGTTGAAGACAATGAAATATTGGATTTCTTTTCATCACTTGGGATTTCTTCACTTTTGTTATCTTGGTTTAGTATCGAATCGCGTCTGGTGGTTTCATGGTTGATGCTTGATTCCTCTTCTTCATGCTCCTTTGTAGTGTCTGGCTGAGACACAGTCTCACCAACAATACCACTTGTATCTTTATCTTCCATATGTTCTTCCTCGTCTTCTTCGGAGAGTCCATGATCAGAAGTACTTGCTTTGGATCGACTGTCGGTAAAATCTTCAGTGTTTGATTGATCTTGCTCTTGATCTTGCTCTTGAGCATCATAGTCACTGTTATTTACAAAGCTACTTTCGTCTTCACTGTCGGGAATTGTTGGTCTCTTCCTTTTCATTATCATATATCTTGTAGTAGTATCAATCTTTACTGGGATCTAAACAATTGAAATAAAAGAAATGCAGAAAAAAAAAACAAAAAACAAATAAACAAAATCAACTCTCTAAGCAAAGAAGAAGAAGAAGAAAAAAATCAAAACAAATCTTGCAATGAAGGCGTTTTGCACGACCATGGACTTTTTTTTTCTTTTCGTTGTATAACAGAAAGACTGAAACTTGACCCTTGTGTGTCCCTTGTAGCACACAATACTACCCCAGGAATTGTGCTTAACTCAAGAGATATAAGATACCTGTAGTTGTATTATCAGAGAGATATCGATCAAACAAAGGTGTGATGTTAGTGGTACCTCACTCCACTAACATTACATTATAATCCTTAAAACAAACCATCTATGCTTTTAAAGTAAACAAAAAAAAGTACTTATATTAAAACGATTTTTTTTTTGTATAGAATTACTAATCGTATGGATAAATGTATCTAAGGGTAATGAATAAGATAAAAAAAAATTATGATGAATGGAATAAAACAAGAAGAAAATAATAATAAAAACGGATAGACAATTGGTAATTAAACTTACAAAACCAAAGCAACACCGACGGCAATGGCACCGGCGAAACCCAAGCTGGTACCAACAGTCATGGCACCGTTAGCAGTGGAGCTGGTGCTGTTGGAAGAAGAGTTGGTGTCTTTGTTGTAGACAACAGCTTTGTTTTGGGTTGGGATTTCGGATTCATGGCTGACTAAAACAGTTGAGGTGTGGACTTTCTTGGTTTTGTTGAATCTACCGTAACGGTGGGTACCGGTTTCTTTAGCTTCCTTTTCTCTAGAAGTCTTGTTGAATCTACCGTAACGATGAGTGGTTTGGGTAACGTAGGTGGTGACGGTGGTTGGAGTAGAGTCATCTTTTGGACCTTTACCGGCGGCAGCGAATGAAGAAATGGCTAAGACAGCAGCAACAGTTGAGAATTTCATTTTGTTATTTACTTTTGGTTCAAATTAATATCTAGTTTTCTTCAAAAATCTAATTGAATTGTAGATGAACTTATTAACGGTTGGAAAGAAAACAAGAAAAAGAGGAAGAAGAGGAAGAAGTTAATTGGATTTTTTTTTTTTTTTAATTGGGTTCGTTTTTCTTTTTCTTCTTGCATTGGTTCTCAGTATGGCTCACTTCCGTGCGAAAATTTTTAACAGTGCGTGAATTAATTAGTGGAAAATGAAAACAAAGGAGCAATTGCATTTCATGCACAATGTGGACAAGATGGGAAGAAACAAAATATTACACATTGGTTTGTGTGCTCAATAATAATTTTTTTTTAAAAAAAAATGCCTCAATTTGAACCTCTCTCTCTCTCTCTCTCTCTCTCTCTCTCTCTCTCTCTCTCTCTTTCTTTTTACCCTACATAAAGAATGGAATGTGTATTGCTAACTAACCGAAACTGAATAATCGCTATACTAAGAGACCCACCTCTATCCAATGAGAAGGTGATTTTTAAAAACTCTTCGTGATCAATTAATTAACCCGTGGATGATGTATACAATATTATTTATGAGCTTTTCTTTTTCTTCACTATGTTGAAATCCAGTCCCTTGTATTGCTCCCTCTCTCCCCGCCAGATAATATTCAATTCAATTTCACCTCAAACTGAGCGACATTTCTTGTCCTAATCTTTTGGTGAATGGAATTTGCGGTTATAAAAAAAAAAAAATAATAAAAATTAAAGAGAGATTAGATAATCAGTTGCCGGTTACTAATAATTATCCATGCACAAAAAAATTCTTCATCTCTGATAACAACAATCTATATTTTCCGGGAACACCTTGAGATTATTATAGAGTCGAAATTACCATATCATTTATTACACGGTGACAAGATGGTCAACCAACTCTGGCAAAAGATATTTTTTTTTTTTCAATCATTTTCTGTCGTATAAAAAATGGTTTTTAAACTGTTTTGATTGGTTGGTTAATCGGAACAACAAGAAGAAGAAAAAAAAAAAAGAAAATTTTCGGCCTGAACGTTTGTATTGTTTGATTCTTGTTTGTGTCAGCTGAGGGGGGGGGGAGGGAGACTGACGTAGAAAATTGAGATTTACTTCCGGAAGTAAATCAAGCTGGCTTAAAGTGCGTGCGAACAAACATCAAAAACAGGAGATACAACCAGCTTGTCTAATAACCGGGGTTAATGTTTACTGACAGCTTTTATAGTTATCAGTATTTCAAAAAGTTTCTATTTTTGTTTGTTTGTTTGATTATCTACTTATACTGAAACAATTTACAACATTTCCCTACATAACTGTAATCTCTATTCCAAACTGGATAAACTATCAAAAAGAACCAGGATACTTTCACCAAAATGATCTCTTCTTATACATTCAGCAAAAATAGGTGACACATCTATCACAACCAATTTATCCTTGTGGTTTTCAATTTGTTCTTTTGGAATTGGGTAAGTGTTGGTGACAACAATCTTGTCAATACATTTAGAGTCAGTCAAATCTTGCAAACAGTGATCATTGAACACACCATGGGTACCAACAACATAAACTGCTTTGGCCCCACAGTTTAATCTCAAATGTTCAGCAGCAGCAATAAATGAGTTTGGCTTGTCAATCATATCGTCCAAAATAATAGCAACCTTCCCCTTGACGTCACCAACTAATGTGATCAACTTCTCTTCACTTAAAGCAGTTGGCTCATCTTCATCATCAGAATTGGTGGCATCATATGTTCCACCCAAGACATCGCTATCCAAACGGGTTTCTTCTTTGGCGTGTTCACTTGTAGCAGCACCGTTTGGTTGATAGTCATCATCAACAACGTGACCTTTGATAACTCTAGCAGTTTGCAACTCAGAAACAATATTATCTTGACCTTCTTCAATAAGTTGAGCGTGCTTCAATTCTTTCTTCTTGGCATATTCATCTTGAGTTCTTCTTCTATCGGTGTGAATCATAGCAAAGTTGATCTTCAAGGAATCGGCCAAAGCAGTCACACGTTTAGTACCACCAGGGTTCTTAGAAACAACAACAGCGTTTTCCCAATCTGGGATATGATGACGAATCCAACGGGCCAAAGTTGGGGCACCAAATAAGTTATCAACTGGTTTGCTAAAGAAACCTTGCATTTGGGAAGCATGTAAATCCATAGAAACGATATGGTCAGCACCTGCCATAACCAACAAGTTGGCCAACATTCTAGCAGTAATAGCACCTCTATGTTTCTTCATCTTGGATTGTTTGGAATAAGGAAATTGGGGGATAACAGCAGTAATCTTGTTGGCTGAACCACCACGACATGCAGAAATCAAAATCAATAATTCCATAATATGATCATTAATGTGAGGAGAACCACTTTGAATGATATACACATCTTCATCTCTAACGGAAACACCAATTTGAACTGAGGTTTCCCCATTGGAAAACTTTTTCAAAGTACATGGTGCTGGTTCAACACCTAATCTATCACAAACTAATTGGCCAAGTTCAGGATGTGAAGAACCAACAAAGATTTTACATTTACGCATGTTTAAGGACGACAACGTGGATACTGGCTAACCAAGAAAAGGCTGTTCAAGGTAATTGGATAATTTTTTTCTTCTTCTTCTTCTTTTCATTTTTTCTCATCTCTTAATTTGTGGGACACACACCCACACAAACCAGATGAAGTCAAATTTGGAGACAATTCAGTAAGAAGAAAAAAAAAAACAGAAAACTAAATTACTGTGAAAGGCAGAAAGAAAAGAAAAAAAAATTTTTTTTTCTGTCTCTTTATTGCAATAGACCAATTGACACGACCTGGACTAAAAACAAATATGGAGTATAGAGATACTATTAGGCAGTCTGATCTTTATGAAGATATAAAGAAATCGTTAGATTGCGAGATCACTACCATTCGATGTTTAGCATTAGGATCACCTTCTGAAAGTAAAAATGCAAAATATCAATTGGCATTATTGTTAGAATTACAAGATTTGTTTGATGCAAAAGTGTCTGTTTATGATCCAATTTTCAATGACAAAGACAAAGAACTATTAGATGGATTCACAATCGAAGAAGAATTTACCAGTGATAGTGAGAAAACACTATATTTTCTTCCCCATGCATCTTTAGAGTTGACTGAACATATTTTGAACATTAATAAACCAAAGTATTTTCTTGCAAATGATGTGGTTACTCATACAGATAGATTGACTAAAAAAAAACTAGCTGACATGTATCCTTCCCTTTCCATACTTGTTCATCTTCTAGAAGATAACAGCACAGTTAAAAAACCAAGCGATGGGTTTACTACTGTATCAAGGAGGAAAAAATTTAAAGAACCAGTTATAGATTACAACATCGAGTCGGTTTATTTTGATAAAGTACAAATACATCGTTATCTACATAATAGTAAACAAGCACCTTGGGGTACATCGTTTACCGATCTAGCATATCATTATATAACTTAAGTCAACCGTGGCTTTTTGATACCCGGTTGTTGTTCTTGATCTTCTTGTTTAAGTTCTTTAGGTTCTAATAAATGTTTAGCCAAGATTGCATACAAATCATCTTTTGTAAATGGTTTAGCCAAGATATCAGACATACCATTTTGCAAGTATGTTACTAAATCATTATCACCGATATTCCCAGTCATGGCTATAATTGGGGTCTTTGTATCAAATGAACGGATAACACTAGTTGCAGTGGCACCATCTAAATTAGGCATGACAATATCCATTAAAACCAAGTCATACTTTGTGTGCTCAACCGTGGAAATAGCATTTAATCCATCTGTAACTACTGTGACCAGACATCCATATTTGACTAGAAATTTACGACACAATTGAATGCAAACATTATCATCTTCAACTAATAATACATGGAATTTTGGATTTGGAACTGTGGTGGTGTTGATCTGTGCGGATGTGTTTGGGGAAGCGGATGTGCTCATTGAAATAGCAGGAGATTTAGGTGAAATAGTAGGAACGTTTGACGCACTACCTGCATGTTGTTGCAGTAGAGGTGTAACAACTGGTGCACCCTGACTTGATTGAGGAGGTTGTGGTTGTGGCTGAGTTGTTGGTGGTGCAACCGTCTGTGGTTGTGGTTGTGTTTGTGGTTGCGGAGGAGGTGGAGGAGGAAGAGGACCCAAGGTTTGAGGACCAGATACCGGCACTGCAACAGGTACATTAACAGAACCTCCTGGAGTTGTAACCAGAGACTGAAGTGGTATTGGACCCGGTGGTGGTGGTGGTGGTGCTGCTGCTGAAACACCTGTTGTTGGTTGTGGCCCTGATTGATGAGGTGGTGGTGGATGAACCACAGCATGTTGTACTAGTGGCAGTGGTTTGACACTTCCTACTGGACTTGTTATTGGTCTTATGGATCTATTCATTAACTGCGTATGATGTTGCAATGGGGACTGAAGATGTTGAGAAATACTTGGCAATGTTGTATCTGACATTGAACTCAAACCAGTAGGTAAACCAGAATCAGGACCTAATTGTGCTGGTGGTGGGAAATCTAATGGAGGCAATTTTATCCCCGATTGTAGCAAAGTGTTTATTAAAATGCTGATAGATCTGTGGTATCTTTCGTTGAATGTATTCACTGCCACGATATTTTCCACTACCGTCTTGTATTTTCTATCCAATAAATTAACTTCTTGATGTAAACTATTGTTTTCCTTCTTGAGATTTTCCACTTGTTCCTTTAAATAATTATTTGATGCTGAAAGTTGCGTATAGTTATGATTGCAAGCAGCTTGGGCGCCATTATTACTTGATTCTGCTTTGGCACTGGGAGTAGTGGAACCAGCAGCAGTCTTCTTCCCTGTGGGACCCTTTCGCTTAATATTTTCTAAAGCCTCTATATCATTGATTCTAAAATCCGGGTGTTTAAACTCCCATGCATCTTCCCCATACGGATAAGTTGCCTTTGCCTCGTTAGGGATCTTTACCTTATGGAAATCATATTTGTTTAATTGACGAACAAAACTTGCAAAATTAGAATGCTTAAAATGACGTGGTAGTATATCTTTCGTGAACTCATTTGTATTGATAACAACAAAACTATCACCACTCGCTGTCCATCTAACAACTTCTTTATAACTATCTTCTTGTAACATAAGGAATAATTTCTTGACAAAATCATTGGAACCACTTTGATTCGAACTAGCTGTCGTTGCTAGCGTTGAGTTCGGTGGAATGGGCTGTTGTAGTGATGACATAATACATATAATAAAGGAATGTGAAGGGTGTATACACAAGAAGTTCCACTCAAATAAAGATGATCCTAAAGGTCAAATAACAATAAATACAAAATGAAAGAAAATTTTTTACCTTTTGTTCTTTTTTTTTTTTGGTAATCAAAAGATGTCTTTGTTTTTGTATTTATAGTTTCTTGGTGTATGACATGGATACATCTATGCTCGGCGTCATATTAAAAAAAAAAAAATGTGCGAGAAAAAAACAAAAAAAAAAAAACTGTTTGGTGCATGCACTACTCCATACGAAAACAGTAAAGTTAGTAGAACACAAAGTAAACGGATGGTAAGGAAAACAGAATAAGTTGTGTATTGAGTACAGAATAGTATTAAATTGCTATTTAATTAACATCCCCCCTTTTTTTTTCTTATTTTTCTTCCTCGAAATTATTTACTCTTATTGTCCATGTATTTTTCTTTTAGGGGTAATTGAGGATTTCACGGCTGGATTGACAGTATCAGAATCTGTAACCAACAATCCCAACCAGCAAAATGTTTCCAATATTTGATTTGAAACTATCGTGGCAATTGATGCCATACATATGCGATCACTACTACAACCTTTCAAGTTTGTACCTTTTTTTTAACATATATAACTGAAGTGAATTTTTTTTTTTCTTTTTTACCCCTTGCCTAGGCCCGTGAGTTACTTAAATCCTGCCCGTTGCTCAAAATCTGAAACAAAGGAAATATAAAAAAAAAAATTTTTTTTTTCTTCGCGCCCTTTATTCTTCAGGAGTATCTCGTCAAAGATATCAACTTGAAACAATGTCACAAACCACAGATGACAAGCCATCTCTCCATGTGGTCCCTTCGTTCTATGGAGTTTATATCCTACAATCGATTCCAAAACCTCGAAGCACATATATCGGATCAACACCTGATCCAAGGCGAAGATTACGACAGCATAATGGCGACTTAAAAGTTGGCGGGGCATATAGAACAAAGCGCCCCGGTTGCAGGCCTTGGAAAATGATTGTTTTAGTTCATGGATTTCCCTCTCGTGTTTCAGCTTTGCAATTTGAACATGCTTTACAACATTCCTATCAAACTCGTCATATCACTGAACAAGTAGGTAAGAGCTTGTCGATTTCTAAAAAATTAACCAACGTTAAGTTATTGTTATCATCCCCATCTTTCATCAGAATGGGTCTAGAAGTGGCCATTTTTGACCAAAAGGCGTTTGAAATGTGGAATGATAAGAGCGGACATGTACCAGTGGAATTACGAGACTTTGATCAGTTTTGTGATCATGAGGTGAAAGAGATTGATATTGACGAGGAAAAGCAGATCATTTTGAATAACAAGTTAGAATGCACAGTTTGTAATCAAACAATAAATTACTTTCTTGAAGAAAGTCCAAGTATAACTACGAGGCAAGAATTGACGAAATTTTTGGGCAACTATCCACTCATAGGTATTCATAAGGATCACTGTTTTCATTTGACATGTATTGCGAAAACTGAATCGGAATTAATTCCAAGATCGATCACATGTACTTGTGGTCTGAAACTTAATTGGATAATACTTATAAAAGTGGCCACCAGAATGAGAAAATACTTGCTTGGAGATTGTGTGAATGCTGACTAGGTTGTAAAGAAGTACAGAATAAACAAGTATATGAATCGCCTGAATAATTGCTAGTACATTTTTTTTCAAATATGTAGAGTTTCAAAATGTTGGTGGATATTTGCAAAGTTCACATATGTACTATTCAAAACTACAACTCATCATGTTCGATATCATTCTCTGGGAAATGGAATTCCAATTTCAGGGACTCAAACCTTGGCTTTTTGATTTGGATCTTTTGACCAGATGAATTGATAACCACAATTTTTTCTATTTTTGGAACACTAGGAGTGGCAGAAAGGACGTCATTCTCAACTTTAAAACTAATCAAACCAGTGTCATCACGGTATAACTTACCGGTAGCGATACCATCTCCATTCAACCCTATGTATATGGTATAAGGATCATTCACAGAACCAGAAGTTGATCTCCTTTGACGACCCCAAACTGGTACAATGGAACCACCTCTGAGTAAGACATCAACACCGTGTCCAAACCCATTAACGATACCAGATAAAGCCCCACCGGTAAAGTTATAATACACTTCTGAGGACGGTAATTTCAGTCCATCATCTGAAGCAAGTGGTTTAACTAGTAAACCAGAATCACCAATTGTAAATTGATCTTCAGTTTCATAAGTAGTAATATCTTTCCCATCGCTCCAGAAAATTGGACTTACAATTGGTATACCATTCAGTGATGCCTCGTAGAATGCTGTATACCAAATAGGAAGTAACTTGTATCTCAATCTGATAGCATCGGCAATACCTTCGGCAACATCGGCAACTAACCACGGCTCACGTCTTTTAGTATCAATATGAGCATGGCCCCTAAAAAATGGATACCAAATCCCCACCTGATACCATCGAAGCAACAATTCAGGCAGTGGGTCTCCGAAAAACCCTCCAACATCAGCTCCTGTAAAACCTGCTCCCACAATATTCATACTCAACATCATCGGAACTGTTGCTTTCAAATGCTCCCATGTAGCTTGAATATCACCACTCCATGAAGCAGCAGTTCGTTGAGAACCAGCAAAAAGTGATCTAGTCAAGACGAATGGACGTTCTTCAGGGGTTCTTTCAATAAGAGCATTATAACTACGTTCATGAAAATTCAATCCGTAAATATTATGAACGCTTCGATGTTCCCAACCACCAAAATGAATTGTATCTTTTGGGGAACTGGTTTCTGGACCATTGAACACCGATGGCTCATTCATATCATTCCAAATATGGATATTCTTGGCATCCTTAGGTAAGAAATCTTTGTATCTTTGGGTCCACCAATCTTGTGATTCCGGATTGAATGGATCCAACCAGACAGATTCTCCTGGCCAACAATGACCTTTAAAGGGTTCACCTTTGGAAGATTTCATTTCTAAATCCTTAGCTACCATATCTTCGGTAACATTATACTCCGTTTTGAAGTGGGGATCGATAATAACTGTCAAGTGTCTGGCGGTGTAGTCCAAGATGCGACACATCCGTGCTGGATCGGGGAACTTTTCTTTATCCCAAGTAAAATATTTCTTGCTATCTGTGTACTCAATATCTAACCAAATTGTGTCGTATGGAATATGATGCTCATCAAACTTGGCATGGACATCCAACACATCTTTTTCATCATTATAATTCCATCTGCATTGATGGTATCCCAACGAGAATAATGGCGGCAACTGGACAAATCCAGTGACTCTTCCGAATTGCTGGGTCACTTCCACTGGGGTATCTTCAATTATGACAATAAAATCCAATACTCCATTTTCTGAAATCCAATGGACGGTAGAATCTTTGTCTCGTTTGATATCAATATATGTATCGGCAGCATTAACCCAGAATATACCAACAGATGCCTCTGGTTTAATGGCAACCAACAAGGGAATGGATCCGTACATTGGGAGCCTGGAGTCAATCTCGTACTCAAAAATATCAACGTTGAATAACCGATAAGGCTCCTTGTCAGTGGTATCTTTCAATAATAATGAATCAGAATGCTCTGGTATACCATACATGTGCGAGAATCCCATCAACTTGAAATCAACAGCAACCGACTCTGGACCCAAGGGAAGGGTGTCCATTTTGGAATCTGGGAATGAATCAGAAAACATATCAAATGATGATTCTTGTGCCAACATATGCAACTCGTTCTCCTGTTGCGTTCTATAATGCTCGACATTGAGGAATTGGTCGGCATTGATTCTCAATTGCTCTTTACCTTTGTAGTTGAAAACAAATACAATTGGATTGTATTGAATAATGACTTCGTGTTTCCCATATGAAATCTTCAATTCATTTTGTTTTTCAGAAATATCCACATTAGTGTTAATAGTAACATTAGGTTTAAATGACCATTTCTCTGTTTCATTATATCGATTTGGGTTGATATGATTTAATTGAACGCCAACTCTTTCTTCATTCAATTTAAATCGAAAATTATCCTCCACAATAGTGATTTCAAATGGTAAATTCACATTTCTTCCCAATTGAGTCAATTCTTTTATAGCCACACCATTGACGATTCCATTATCCACAGTAACTGATTCAATTCTGTAAGGAGATTCAAAGTTTTCAGCCAGTAGAACTGCTTTAGCATAATGTCTATTTCTATGGCAAAACCCAGATTGAGCACATGTTTTGAACAAATAATCTTTTACTGCTTCTGCAGTAGCGATTATTAAAATAAATGTCCACAACAACTTCATTGTTGGATGTTATACCAAACAGGAAAAAGGGGGGACCCATATTCGTGTTTTTTTTTTCGTTGCTTCCACTCCCGCGCCTCTTATTAAGGCAAGTCCAACGAAAGAACAAAAAAAAAAAATTAAAAGAAAACCTACCCCGTCTAATGAAACTATGAAATAAAAGGTCCATACTTGTTGGTTATTTGACCAGTTGGGCTCCTGGTATTTGATATTATTTGTCACTACATGTTGGATTAATATTAGTGTTTGTTTGGTTTTCTAGTGGCATGTTTCCGTGAGTTTGTTTTACTCCCACCCAACTTCTGTGCTTTTATCTAAATTATTAGATTTCTCATTCACTCATGAGGTATATTTTCCAAGTCATGAACCATTGAACACTAAACTTTGAATCATTAAACCACTGACGTTAAATCATCATTGCTCCTTGAATGAATACATGGCTGGTAGTATTCGTTAATTTCACGATCATTGGTCGTGTGCGTCTCAGAAAATTCCTAAGAAGAAAAAAAAATTTTTTATATGGCTTTTTTTTCCTACGTTTTGTTCTTTTTTTTTTTTCTTCTTTTTCTTCTTCTTACTCCTCCTATTTCGTCATTAGCTATAGTCCAAATGAACGGTGGAAAAAGAACTCTTCCAGATTCATCAAGCCTGCTACCTGCTAAGAAACCAAAGCAAGAGTTGAGTTCGTCCGGTCCTTTAACTCAAGATGATGTTGTTTATTTCCAAAAAGAAGCTATTTGGAGACAAATGATTCAATATAAACAACAAGTTGTTTCATTGCGTCTGGACGTCATAAGATTACAACGTGAATCAAACACACTGAAACATATTATAACGGTTTTGACTGCGTGGTATGAACAAATACTTGGTCTTTTCGGTGAAATAGACAAACAAGAGTCAGCTGAGTTATTGGTGGCCTTTGAGAAGAATGTAGATGAAAAACTAGAAAATTTAAGAACCAAGTTGTCTGGTTTATTGTCTAATAAAGTTGTTTTTGATGAATCCAAGTATGAAAAAATTGCTGGAGAATTTGCCCTTGTTTCACGAGAAAACCAACAGTTCCAAATAGAAAAGTCCTCGCTTTCTGAAAAGATTGAACAATTGGAATCCAAAATTGAAGAACTCATTAAAGAAAGAGATAGATCAGTGTCAAAGACTTTACAGAGAGTAGACGCATCAAGAAGAGTTGAAAATTCTGAAGAAGAGGAAGAAGCACCTGTATCACAGCCAAATGGGTCCCATAAAGAAAATAGTGTTTCCCCAGTGGATTCAGAGGAACTAGATAGACTTAAAAGTGAGGTTGAACAGCTCAAGTCAGCCAACAAATTGCTCTCAGAACAGGTAGAACAGTTGACCAAAGACAACCAGTCATTAATTCAGCAATCAGTCAATTTAGAAAAGAAGTTGCATAACTTGGAGGAGTCTGATTTACAGGACAATATTTTTTACAAGAAAGTTGTTAAAAACAACCAGTCGTTACAACAACAGATCAGTAGTGTCACCAAACTTAATTCAAGTAATGCATCTAAATTGAACGAATTGGAGAAGCAGCAGAATGATTTAAAGAATTTAATTCTGAGTGAAATCCTTGAAGAGAATGAAAAATTGAAACAACAATTGCATGAAAGTGAGAACAATTTGGTGAGAATTAGAACAGCTCGTGATGACCTATTGGCCAAGAATGCTATATTATCAACTCAGTTACAAGATGAAAAAACAAACGAATCGTTGATTAAATTGAATGAAGAGTTATCCAAGAGAATCGAACATTTAACAAAAGAAAAACTCGATTCAATAGTTGGATCTCCAAGTGAAGATAAGCTTAAAGAGTTATCACAAGATGAATTGATTCAAAAGATTGGGCAGTTGAATGAAGAAATCAAGGAAGTGGAATTGGCGTTTAAACAGACTCGAGAAATAACATTGAAGAAATTGAATAGTTCGATTGATCAAGAGAACTTGACAAAGAAGTTGGCAATTGAAAAGAATAAAGCTGATCAGAAGTATTTTGCTGCCATGAGATCCAAGGATTCATTGAGTAACGAGAATAAATTATTGAAAGCGCAAATCAACAAATCACAGGAATTGATCAAGAACTTGAATGAATTGGAGAAAAAGTATTTGAACAAGATTGAAATTTTAGGCAATCAATTGGTGGATTTCAAGACAATCAAGGAAAATTCATTACTGGAAAATTCCAAACTACAAGAAGATTTGAGATCAGTGACGATTGCCCATGACACATTGCAACAAGAGCTTGAGAGAGTTAATGAAAAATTGGAATCCACCTTGAAAGAATTCACCAGCTTGCAAGATGTAAATAAGAAGCAAGAAATTGAATTGACCAAAGTGGAGAAACAATTAAAGTCTACTGAAGACATTTTGCAAAAATACAAATCCAATAACACCAATTCATTATTGCAAGAAGATGAACAACAACTTGAGGCATTAAGATCGATTGCTAAATGTTCGGTGTGTTCTAAAAACTGGAAGGATACGGCCATTACGGTTTGTGGACATGTATTTTGTTCTAAATGTACACAAGAAAGATTGGCTGCTAGATTGAGAAGATGTCCAAGTTGTAATAAAGGGTTTTCAGCCAATGATTTACTAGCTGTTCACTTGTAAGATTGGTTGAGTCATTTTTGTTCTGTTTCTTTCTTCTCTGTCTTACGGATAGATCATTATGTATTACTTGTATATTTTTTGTTCTTGTTGTTTAATCTTTATAATTATTATTATTATGTACAGAAGTAAAAAGGAAAGAAAAAAAAAGGATGTGCTGGCCAAACGCGTTTTCCCCTATTGTTCCTATTTGCTCCGTTTCAATTCATAACAAATTATTTTGAGTCACGCGCGGATTAAAAAAAAGAGAAGAGAGTGAGAAAAAAAATCTTTCTTGCCACCCTAGAGAATGTAGTAAAACTTAGAAACCACGGACAACACGAAAGCTTTTTAATTAAAACAAAAAACCTATACGTACTTTTATCAAAGCACTGCAAATACTACATCAAACGGAAAATAGAATGAATACAAAAAAAGACATCTCTTCTACAGGGATTCTCAGTTTGTTGTCATATATTTGATGATTGTATTGTAGTGGGCTGGCTATCACAGCAAAAAGAAGAAACTAGCATTCAAGGAGTGGTTTTTTTTTTCTTCTGTCTCTTTCTTTAATAATATGATTATATGGGTCGTGTACTGGACGAGTAATTTTTTTTTTTTTTTGCTGTTTGATTGAAACTATAAATACTGTTGAAGATTTCGCACATTTTTTTTCAGGATTTTTTTTTTTTTTGTTGAAATTTTTTTTTTATTTTTTTTTTTTTAGTTTTGTTTTTTTTTTTCTCCCTCCCGTATTGGTAACACGAATTCTGCACAAGTTTCTTCTTTAATTGAATTTAAAGAAGTTTTATTTCACATTGCTTTTTTCCCCTCCTTATATTATTAATTTTTTTTTATTGGACATCTTGTCCTAGCTCATACACAATCATTTAAGTAAATTTATCTTCTAAGGGTAGTAGCATAAGTAATTCTTTATAAATGTCTGAAGTATTCCCTGAAACAAATACTCCCGTGCAAACCCCATCAACTGAAAGTTTTGTTAATAAGATGAACGAAAGCGAACACGATAAACTTACTCAGGAAACGAATAATAATAGTAATACGAATAGTAATAATACTCAAGAACCACTTCTGCCTCCTAATCCATCTCCAAGCCCTGAAAAGAGAAAATTAGACGATGAAGATGTTGAGGGTAACTCTAACGAACAAGAAGGTACAGACACGGTTAAGGAACCAGAAGTAAAGAAACAAAAGACTGAAGGTGAAGATAAAACCGATGAGATTTCTGGAGATCAACCAGAAGGCAAACCAGAGGATAAACCAGAGGATAAACCAGAGGACAAACCAGAGGACAAACCAGAAGACAAACCAGAAGACAAACCAGAAGACAAACCAGAGGAGAATCCTATGGAAGTGGATAAAGAATCGACAAATCCGGTGGAAGAGTCAACAAAGACACAGTCATCTGGAGAAAATCAAGATGATGCACCTGATGTTGAAGAAATTCCAGCCCCAGCACCTCCTGTTTTCACTGAACCAGCTCCAAAACCACCTCAAGAACCAGATGTCAATAATTTGCCTGCTAATCCAATACCAGCGCATCAATCTAAATTTGTACTCAACGTGATTAAGGTTATTAAAAGAAATAGAGAAGCAGTTCCATTCTTACATCCTGTTGATACTGTCAAATTGAATATTCCATTCTATTACAATTATATTCCACGTCCAATGGATCTTTCCACAATTGAAAGAAAAATAAACTTGAAGGCATATGAAGACGTGTCTCAGATTATTGATGATTTTAATCTCATGGTTAAAAACTGTAAAAAATTCAATGGAGAAGCTGCAGGTATTTCAAAGATGGCTCTGAATATTCAAGCTCAATTTGAAAAACATATGGTTAAAGTACCACCTAAGGAATTACCCGTTGGTGTCAACATTTCTACTGTAACTGCCCCAGCCACATCACCAGTTTCAAATAGAAGAAAATCCACATCTGAATCTGACTCAGTTGCTGCTTCTAGACCAAAGAGAAAGATTGTTCCACCAAAAGCCAAGGATCTAGAATACCACACGAAACCAAAGAATAAGAAATTTGCGGCGGAATTGAGATTTTGCAACCAGACCATCAAAGAGCTTATGTCGAAGAAACATTATAATTACAATTTCCCATTTTTAGCACCAGTTGATACGGTGGCCTTGAATATTCCAAACTATCGTGAAATTGTTAAGGAACCAATGGATTTGGGTACAATCCAAACAAAGTTAACCAACAATGAATATGAAAATGGTGACCAGTTTGAAAAAGACGTAAGATTGGTGTTTAAGAATTGTTATGCGTTCAATCCAGAGGGTACTGATGTTAACATGATGGGGCATAGATTGGAAGCCGTTTTTGATAAGAAATGGGCTAACAAGCCGGTTCCAGAGCCAACTCCACAAAACACAGATGTCAGTGATGGTAACTACAGTAGTGAAGACGAGGCAGATGTTGAAATTAGTGAGGCTATGCTTTCAGAAGTTCCCGCTATTCAATTCTTGGAAAACCAAATTATACGAATGAGAAAGGAGTTGGATGAATTGAAAAAAGAGCACTTGAAAAAGTTGAAAGAACAACAAGCAGCCAAGAAGAAGAAGAGACAACAAAAGGGTAAACGTAGATCATCCAAAGCTAAAGGAGCCAAAGATAATCACCACAATAATCATCATAGTCATAGTGTGCAAGCTCCTCCTCCTCCACAGCCACCTAAATTGACTCCACCGCAACCAGTTGTAACATATGAGATGAAGAAACAGGTTTCCGAAATGGTGCCAAACTTGTCAGATAAGAAGTTGAATGCATTAATTAAAATTATTCAAGATGATGTACAAATCAACAATGATGATGAAGTGGAATTGGATATGGATCAATTGGAAGACCGTACTGTATTGAAATTGTATGACTTTTTGTTTGGGGATAAAGCGTTGAAGAATTCTGCTGGTAAGAAGAAGAAGTCTATTGGTAATAATAATCTTGATGAATTGGCACATTTAAGAAACCAGTTGGCATTGTTTGATGAAGGTGCTGAAGGAAATGGTCAATCACAACAAGATAATGGATTTATGGGCATTACACATCAAGAAGAATCATCAGAAGATGATGCATCTTCAGAAAGTTCAGAAGAAGAATAAGAGATTTTCCATTAATGATAGAAAGTGTTTTTGATTAATTTTTCTTATTTTAATTTTTTATTTTTATTTCATTCTTATATTCCATTTCAGATTAAGTGTATTATTTTTCCAAATTTTGTATTGAAAACAGCTTTCTCATCAAAATGACCTCAACAAGTCATGCAATGGCAATTCCTGATTTTTTTTTTTTGTACTATATACTTGATTAAGTTTTGTTTATGTATATATTAATATCAAGTTTTTTTTCTTTTTACAATTGTATATATATCTACAGTCGTTGCAGTTTTATTTCGCGCTAGCGTGAGCATAATTTTCAGATCAGTGAGTCAAAATTATTCGCACTATTTGCAAAGAAAAGTTCATATTAAGGCGGTCAATATTTTTGATACTAGTGCGCAAAAAATGTTCATATTACATGACCTCTATTTGTTCATACTGAAAATGTATGATATATGATATGAATAAAAAAGGGCAGCTAGTTTGAAAGTATTATTTCCGCTGGTGTGAACAGTTTGAGTCCATTTACTATGAACAATTAATCTCCTTTACTATGAATTAAATTGTCGCACTAGTATTAATAATTTCTTTGAACTTGGTACGAACTGAAAATAGAAACAATGTATTATCATACATATGATTTCGATCACGTGCTTTGTAGTAGTTTTCCTCAATCCAATATTACAATGTTTTATTAAAGATTTGCTGCAAAAATTCGAGGAAAAAGATAAAATAGAGTAATACATTATCGGCACAATTTATCACAATAGTCATTTTACTTAAACCCCTGATGTGTTCCTTTTATCCTCAACTGTTTATTTTCTATAATTAACCTCAAATTTAACGTTTGTTTACTTGAACAATAGAAGACATGTTAACTATTGAATACACATGAGTGGCTCGAAGGAAATAAAAAGAAACCAAATTCAAAAAAAAAAGTAGGGCGCAGGAAAAAAGACAGGAAGAAAACGGGATGAAATTTAACTCGCTACCTGCTCAAAAAAAATAATTAACTCCAGAAAGATATTCTAATAGATAGGAATATGTTCTTACAAGTAATAGAAGTGAGATGAAACATATCTACCAATGTGGTTGTACCATTGGTGTAGATTTTTAGTAGATGTTGTGTGATTTAGAAGTGTTGTGATTGGCTAGTTTACTGTGGGTCTACAAGGGTCGTGGTTAAGTGTCTAAAAAAACGGATGAGGCAAAAACAAAAAATAAAAAAAAGAAACCGTGAAAACCAACATTTTCAAATTCTGTTGGGATTCTGCAAATGAAAAAAAAAAAAAAAAAATTATTGAGCCATGTACACGAACTACATACACAAGGAGTTACAAAAACAAAATGGTTGAAATTAAACAATAGCTGAGTAGAAAGTCCGACGATTCCACCAACAAAAAAAAAAACAGAGAACATACAAATTTAAATTTAAATTGTTAAATTGACAAAAGAAACACCCATCAGTTGCGAAATTTATATTAAACTCAACCTTTCTTTTTCTTTCAAGTGCATTTCCTAATATTTAGAAGCAATTACTCAAAACGTTTGAAAGATATCTTATCTCCAAACCTCAGTAGTTGACTTTTTTTTTTTTTTTTTTCGTACCAGCATATTTGTTAAGTATAGGAATCGCATAGGAGATGGAATTTTTCTGTATGTGTTTCTGTCTTTCTTTCTCTTAAACGTCAATATCGCTCGGGAAATCTTAAAACTTATAAGATCGTTTAATTAAATTAACTGGTTTAGAATCAACTGTGTAGCCCTCATGATGGATGGCATTGTAGGACGCATCCATTTACTACTTCTACTACTACGAAGCTACCGTTTCAGGAACAAAACGGTACTAGACTAAGCAGCAGTGAGTGTTTGATTTCTCCTTTTCAAAAATTTATGCCCCAACATTAATTATTATGGCCAACAAAAAAAACAAAATTTCTATAAAACACGCACAACACGTACAGGAACAATTAAAATAATTTTTTTTTTTTTTTTTTTTTTGCATTATCAACCTGTAACCCATTCTTTTTTTTTCAATATATAAACCTTCATCACTTCCACCAGATCTGTTGTAATATTTTTTTTGTTCTTTTTTTTTTTATAAAAAAAATTTCTTTCTTTGAATTCTTTTCTTTCTTTTATTTGTTTCCTGTTATTTGAAATAAACTAGAGCACCTTTCAAACAACTCCCCATTAGATAAGTATTTCCTTTCTTCTACCGCTGATCCCTCAAAGTTAGAATCTTATTTATTATTTCAAATCTCCTATTTTTCAACCCTATACAAATTTTTCATCCGAAAATTTTTCTTATTTTAAATTCAAATTTTAGCGACTACTGTCCATATTCCATATAATTATATCTTTATAAAACAGACAATAATAACTAATCATGTCTACTCATAGACCTTTTCAATTAACTCACGGTGCTATCGAACACACTTTATTAGTTCCAAACGAATTATTTTTTAACTATTCACAATTAAAAGATGAATTCATAAAGACTTTACCTGAACCAACTGAAGGTTTCGCTGGTGACGATGAACCTTCCAGTCCTGCTGAATTATATGGTAAATTCCTTGGTTTCATCAGTGATAACACTGTCCAATTCCCACAAATCGTACAATTATCCTTGCAAGATTTCCAACAACGTTTCTTGGATAACCATGATAATATCCACTCCTTTGCTGTCAGATTATTAGATGATGAAGCTTACCCAACCACCATTACCAAAGTCAAAGAAAATATCATCAAGAACTACTACAAAGCAATCAAATCTATCGACAAAGTTGAATCAAACTTGTTGTACCATTGCAAACACGACGCCAAATTAGCTGCTATTTTCGGTGGTCAAGGTAACACTGATGATTACTTTGAAGAATTGCGTGAATTGTACACTTTATATCAAGGTTTGATTGAAGACCTTCTTATTTCCATCGCTGACAAGTTGGATGAATTATACCCTTCTTTTGACAAGATTTTCACCCAAGGTTTGAATGTCTTGGGCTGGTTGAAACACCCAGAAACCACTCCAGATCAAGATTACTTGTTGTCAGTTCCAGTAAGTTGTCCTGTCATCTGTATCATTCAATTGTGTCACTACACCATTACCTGTAAGGTGCTTGGCTTAACACCAGGTGAATTCAGAGACTCCTTGAAGTGGTCCACTGGTCACTCTCAAGGTTTGGTTACTGCTACTGCTATTTCCAGCTCTGATTCCTGGGATTCATTCAAACAAAACTCCATTACCGCTGTTTCCTTGTTACTTTTCATTGGTGCCAGATGTTTGATGGCTTACCCAAGAACCACTTTACCACCAACTATGTTGCAAGACTCTTTAGAACACGGTGAAGGTAGACCATCTCCAATGTTGTCTGTCAGAGATTTGACTATTACTCAAGTTGAAAAATTCATCGAACAAACCAATTCCCACTTGCCAAAGGAAAAACACATTGCCATCAGTTTGGTCAATGGTGCTAGAAACTTGGTTCTTTCTGGTCCTCCAGAATCCCTTTACGGTTTCAACTTGAACTTGAGAAACCAAAAGGCTCCAATGGGTTTAGATCAATCCCGTGTCCCATTTAGTGAACGTAAATTGAAATGTTCCAACAGATTCTTGCCAATTTTTGCTCCATTCCACTCCCATTTATTAGCTGATGCCACTGAATTCATTTTGGATGATGCTAAGGAACACAGATTGTCCTTCCAAAAATTGAAGATTCCAGTTTATGACACCTTTGATGGTTCCAACTTCCAAGACAGCAAAGAACCAGTCATTGAAAGAGTTGTTAAATTGATCACTGAATTGCCAGTTCACTGGGAAACCGCCACCAACCACAAGGCTACCCATATCTTAGATTTCGGTCCAGGTGGTGTTTCTGGTTTGGGTGTTTTGACCCACAGAAACAAGGAAGGTACTGGTGCTAGAATTATTGTTGCTGGTGCTCTTGATTCCAACCCAATTGATGATGAGTATGGTTTCAAGCACGAAATCTTCCATACCTCCTCTGATAAATCCATCAAATGGGCTTCCGATTGGTTGGAAGAATACAAGCCAACTTTGGTCAAGACCTCTCAAGGTAAAATCTATGTTAACACTAAGTTTTCCCAATTGTTGGGTAGAGCTCCATTGATGGTTCCAGGTATGACCCCAACTACTGTCAACCCAGACATCATTGCTGCCTCTTTGAATGCTGGTTACCACATTGAATTAGCCGGTGGTGGTTACTTTGCTGGTAGTATCATGACCAAAGCTATTGATCAAATTGTTGCCAACATTAAACCAGGTTACGGTTTGGGTATCAACTTGATCTACGTTAACCCATTCATGTTGCAATGGGGTATTCCATTGATCAAGGAATTGAGAGAAAAAGGTTACCCAATTCAATCTTTGACCATTGGTGCTGGTGTTCCTTCCTTGGAAGTTGCCACTGAATACATTGAAGAATTGGGTCTTACTCACTTGGGTTTGAAACCAGGTTCTATTGATGCCATTAGTCAAGTTATTACCATTGCCAAAGCTCATCCAAAATTCCCAATTGTCTTGCAATGGACTGGTGGTAGAGGTGGTGGTCACCATTCTTTTGAAGATTTCCACCAACCAATTCTTCAAATGTACTCCAAGATTAGAAGATGTTCAAACATTGTCTTGGTTGCTGGTTCTGGTTTTGGTTCTGATGAAGACACCTACCCATACTTGACTGGTTCTTGGTCCAAGAAATTCAACTACCCACCAATGCCATACGATGGTGTTTTGTTCGGTTCAAGAGTTATGACCGCTAAGGAAGCACACACCTCCTTGGAAGCTAAGAAATTGATTGCTTCTTGTCCAGGTGTTCCAGATGAAAAATGGGAACAAACTTACAAGAAACCAACTGGTGGTATCATCACTGTTAGATCTGAAATGGGTGAACCAATCCACAAGATTGCTACCAGAGGTGTTATGTTCTGGAAAGAGTTGGATGACACTATTTTCAACCTTCCAAAAGCCAAAGCTTTGGAAGCTATCAAGAAGAAGAGAGATTACATTATCAAGAGATTGAACAGTGATTTCCAAAAACCATGGTTTGGTAAGAATGCTAGTGGTGTCTGTGACTTACAAGAAATGACCTACGAAGAAATTGCCAACAGATTGGTTGAATTGATGTATGTTAAGAAATCTCAAAGATGGATTGACGTTTCCTTGAGAAACTTGTATGGTGACTTCTTAAGAAGAGTTGAAGAAAGATTCACTTCCGCTTCCGGTGTTGTTTCCATGTTGCAAAATTTCGCCCAATTGAATGAACCAGTTACATTCACTGCCGAATTCTTCAAGAAATTCCCACAAGCTAAGGATCAATTGATTTCTGAAGAAGATGCCGATCACTTTTTGTTGTTGGCTGCCAGACCTGCTCAAAAACCAGTTCCATTTGTTCCAGTCTTGGATGAAAGATTTGAATTTTTCTTCAAGAAAGATTCCCTTTGGCAATCTGAAGATTTGGAAAGTGTTGTTGATGAAGATGTTCAAAGAACTTGTATCTTGCACGGTCCAGTCGCTTCCCAATTCACCAAGAAGGTTGATGAACCAATTGGTGAAATTTTGGATTCTATCCACGAAGGTCACATTGCTAGATTGGTCAAGGATGAGTATGCTGGTGATGAATCTAAGATTCCAGTTGTTGAATACTTTGGTGGCTACAAGACTGACAAAGTCTCTGTCGACAATGTTCAAATTAACGCTACCAGAAAGGAAACCGTTTATGAAATTGGCTCTAAATTGCCAGCTAAACAAGATTGGTTAGATTTGTTGGCCGGTACTGAATTGAACTGGTTGCATGCTTTCATCTCCACCAAGAGAATTGTTCAAGGTTCCAAACATGTTGCTAACCCATTGCATGACATCTTAGCTCCTGTTGCTAGATCTAGTGTTTCTATTGACAAGGCTACCAGCAAATTGACTGCTTTTGAAAAAGTCAAGGGAGAGTTAGTTCCAGTTGTTGAAATTGAATTGATTAAACCAAACACCATTCAATTGTCTTTAATTGAACACAGAACTGCTGATGGTAAACCAGTTGCTTTGCCATTCTTGTACAAGTATGATCCTGCTGATGGTTTTGCTCCAGTCTTGGAAATCATGGAAGACAGAAATGACAGAATCAAGGAATTCTACTGGAAATTGTGGTTCGGTTCTTCTGTTCCATACAACAATGACATTAATGTTGAAGAACAAATTTTGGGTGATGAAATTACTATTTCTAGTCAAGATATCAGTGAATTTACCCATGCTATTGGTAACAAATGTGATGCTTTTGTTAACAGACCAGGTAAGGTTACCTTGGCTCCAATGGATTTCGCCATTGTTGTTGGTTGGAAAGCAATCATCAAATCCATTTTCCCAAAGACTGTTGATGGTGATTTGTTGAAATTGGTTCATTTGTCCAATGGTTACAAGATGGTCCCTGGTGCTGCTCCATTGCAAAAGGATGATGTTGTCTCTACCAAGGCTGATATCAAAGCTGTTTTGAACCAACCAAGTGGTAAATTGGTCGAAGTTGTTGGTACTATTTTCCGTGAAGGTCAACCAGTCATGGAAGTTACTTCCCAATTCTTGTACCGTGGTGAATACGAAGATTACTGCAACACCTTCCAAAAGGTTACTGAAACCCCAGTTCAAGTTTCTTTCAAATCACCAAAGGATTTGGCTGTCTTGAGATCCAAAGAATGGTTCCATTTGGAAAAAGATGTTGAATTTGACGCTTTGACTTTCAGATGTGAATCCACCTATAAATTCAAGTCTGCCAATGTTTACTCTTCCATTAGAACTACCGGTCAAGTTTTCTTGGAGTTGTCTACTAAAGAAGTTATCCAAGTTGGTTCTGTTGACTACGAGGCTGGTACCTCTTATGGTAACCCAGTCACTGACTATTTGGCAAGAAACGGTAAGACCATTGAAGAAGCTGTCACTTTTGAAAATGTTATTCCATTGTCATCTGGTGAAGAATTGACTACCAAAGCTCCAGGTACTAATGAACCATATGCCATTGTTTCTGGTGATTACAACCCAATTCATGTTTCCAGAGTTTTTGCTGCTTATGCTAAATTGCCAGGTACCATCACTCACGGTATGTACTCATCTGCTGCTATCAGAGCTTTGGTTGAAGAATGGGCTGCCAACAATGTTGCTTCAAGAGTTAGAGCTTTCAAATGTGATTTCGTTGGTATGGTTTTGCCAAATGATACTTTGCAAACTACTATGGAACACGTTGGTATGATTAACGGTCGTAAGATCATCAAGGTCAAGACTGTTAATGCTGAAACTGAAACCCCAGTTTTGCTTGCTGAAGCTGAAATTGAACAACCAACCACCACTTATGTCTTTACTGGTCAAGGGTCTCAAGAACAAGGTATGGGTATGGACTTGTACAATTCTTCTGAAGTTGCCCGTAATGTTTGGGATACTGCTGATCAACATTTCATCAACAACTATGGTTTCTCCATTTTGGATATTGTTCAAAACAATCCTAAGGAGTTGACCATTCACTTTGGTGGTGCTAAAGGTAGAGCTATTAGAGACAACTATATTGGTATGATGTTTGAAACCATTGGTGAAGATGGTGCTTTGAAATCCGAAAAGATTTTCAAAGACATTGATGAAAACACCACCTCCTACACCTTTGTCTCCGACACAGGTTTGTTGTCTGCTACTCAATTCACCCAACCTGCTTTGACTTTGATGGAAAAAGCAGCTTATGATGATATTAAATCCAAGGGTTTGATTCCAAGTGATATCATGTTTGCTGGTCACTCTCTTGGTGAATATTCTGCTTTGACTTCTTTGGCCAATGTTATGCCAATTGAATCTTTAGTTGATGTTGTTTTCTACAGAGGTATGACCATGCAAGTTGCTGTTCCAAGAGACGAATTTGGTAGATCCAATTATGGTATGGTTGCCGTCAACCCAACTAGAGTTAGTCCAACTTTCAACGATGCTGCTTTACGTTTTGTTGTTGATGAAGTTGCCAAGAAGACCACTTGGTTATTGGAAATTGTTAATTACAATGTTGAAAATCAACAGTATGTTGCTGCTGGTGACTTGAGAGCTTTGGATACTTTGACCAATGTTTTGAATGTCTTGAAAATCAACAAGATTGATATTGTCAAATTGCAAGAGCAATTGTCTCTTGATAAAGTTAGAGAACACTTGTATGAGATTGTTGATGAAGTTGCTGCTAAATCTCTTGCTAAACCACAACCAATTGAATTAGAAAGAGGTTTTGCTGTTATCCCATTGAAGGGTATTTCTGTTCCATTCCACTCTTCCTACTTGATGTCTGGTGTTAAGCCATTCCAAAGATTCTTGTGCAAGAAGATCCCAAAGACTTCTATTAAACCACAAGACTTGATTGGTAAGTATATTCCAAACTTGACTGCCAAGCCATTTGAACTTACCAAGGAATACTTCCAAGATGTTTACGACTTGACTAAATCTGAAAAGATCAAGAATATCTTGGACAACTGGGAAAAATATGAATAAGCTATTTGTTTGTATAGAAACCATGTATATTAGAAAGAAATAATAAATTTTTTTGTATATTAGCTTTATATATGTATTTAACTACTACCGCTAACTAAAGGACTTGAAATATTGACTGGGGTGAATTTCTTTGGTAATGAAACTCTAGAAAATCTTGATTTCAATCTTTGGGTAACCAAATCCATATCCAAATGTCTGGTTAATGAAATTCTTGGAATACATGCAATGTAATGATCATCGTCTAATTGAACATCTAATGGATCTTGAGTATGACAACCTGGCGATAATGATAATCTGATAGAATGTTTCTTTCCGCTTGGACTGGTTGGGTCGTCAGCTTCATACAACTCGAATACAATTTGTGACAAGTAATCCAATTCAGGAAGAGCGTTTCTAGCAATCTTCATTGGCAACTGGGAACCATAGATGATGTTTAACAAAGTATAAATATGTGACTCTTTAGTGAAATAGTTAACCAAAGCTGGTCTATCGTTCTTTTTCATATCATGAATGTCAGAAAGAATTTGTTTGGCCAATGGCAAGGAAGTCAACAAACCAATATCTAATTTTTCTTCATCTTTGATACCATACTCTTGAGGACAGATAAAGTCAAACAAGACTTTTGATAATCGGTACAATTCACGTAATCTAGCAAAAGTTGGGTCATCGAATGGAGTTTGTGGAGTCTTTTCATTTCCTTTACCACCATTTGGTGTAGCACCGCTTAATACCCAACCAAGAGATCCAGTAGTTGAGCTTGGACTAGCATTAAGATTGACGGATGAATTGTTAGTTGAGGTAGAAACAGAATCTGGAATCTTGAAATTATTCATGGCCAAGAGATTTATTGGATATTCACTAACCAAACCAGAAGAATTGACGGTGCCTCCACAAGTGGATTTTAAACGAGCAAGAAGCTCTTCATCATTCGGATCATATGAAAAAATCATTTGAAGAAATTGACGGTTGTGCAACGCATCATACTTCATGGTATCATACAACTCACTGATTTTAGACGGATGTGTTTTCTCAGCTGTGATAAATTCAAGAAATAACTTGTCCCATCTTTCTTTGAACAAGAATGGGTCTTCGCCGGTACACCATTCTTTTTGAAACTCATCAACATTCTTTGTTTCAAAATTGTAATTCATGATTTGGTGGTAGAAATTCATCAATTCACAAACTCGGCTGATAACTTCAAATGGTTGAGGCATCTTTGGTGGCCAAGCAAACTGTGGTGGCGCTTCAGCACCTTCACGTAATAATGGTTTCAATTTCTTTTTCACTTTATCCATTAAATCTTTTGCGGCATTGGAGTCATCCAATAAGTCTTTTCTAACGATAAGGAAATCATCAGGTAATGGTTCGTCCAATTCAAGTAAAGAATCAGTGAAATATTGAGCACTAGCAATAACCCTTCTTTCTGAGGAAGTATATATTTTGACATTTTCGAGCGCCTCACGATTAAGTAACTGAAGTTTTTGTCTAATTTGCTCACCCAAATCCGTTGCTTGGTGTTTAGCAGAATGGGTTGGTTCACCACCCCATTTCAAGATCAATTGCACTTTATCAACAATTTCAGGGTTTTCGCTATTCAAAGTTGGTTTAAGTTGGATCTTGGTACCTGGAAAGTTCATTTTCTTTTCTAATGCACCACGCAATTGTTTTAATTTGGCCAAATCTTCTAACCCTTTAGCTTCAGCAACTTTAACGGTTTCTAATACAACCTGCAAATCCGAAACAGCTCTAATGATAACTTCTTCTCTATGGCCTTTAAGCAAGGAAATAAATAATGGGGATCGGAAAGAATACTTGAATTTTTGCTTTGGTGTACGATCAGCATGTCTAATAACAGTGACCATACCTTTGAACACCCATTTCTGACCTTTTTGTTCAAATTGACTTGCATTTAATGTTTTAGGAATGTGTTTCGACAACAAGTCTCTGGATTTCTTGGCTTCGATAAACAAACCTCTCAAGATCTTTGCACAGGAAGAATAGTATTCGTCATTATCTTTGACAAACGAAAATCCATTGACATCGATAACATATGACTTGCCGTGGACTCGAAGTAAATCAAACCCACAAATTGTTTGTTTGAAAGCATTACTGATATTCCTGGCCATGGCTTTTTCATCATCGGCCAATTCAGTGACATATCTAATTTCTTTACCATGGGTATTTCTTCTAACAATACCATCAACAACAGGAGATTTTCTAGTTTCGGCATGACAGAAATTTGGACCCACTGTATAAGCTTTGACATCCTCAAAATTATCGGTGTCCATAAACTCCTCGTATATAAATGACCCATCGGTTCTTGGACTTGACAAAGTTGGATCAAACTCAGAGGACTTGTTACCAATCTTACGGAACAACTTTCTTCCACCACCACCTGTAGCAGTTGGATAGTATATGTAAACATTGTGGTCTTCACCATCGACTGGTTTTTCAACAAATGGTTTCTTCATGACTCTATCACCTACTCTAAGGGTATCTTCGTCTACCATTTCCCAGTCTGGTTCTTCTTGATGAGTCAAATTATAAAGTTTCTCTTCAGACATGCCAATTTCTTTCAATCTTTCCAAGAGTTGGGGCTCCAAAAATGGACCTCCATCTCTACTGATTTCTAATCTTGATGGAGATGGAACATTGGCATGGTTCAAGATGGCCAAAACCACTCTTCTATCCCAAAGAGCTTTCTGGAAGACCAAGTCATTGATGATATATGGCTTTCTGTAGTTTACGTAGGCAATGGCTTTGTCCAAAGGGAACCCATTTGAGAAAAAACTGATCAAAAAATCACAGGTTGGCCAATTTTCAATTGCTTCATCAAGAATGACCTTATCACCGAAAATCACAGTTTCAAATTCCCCGGTTTCAATAAGACGTCCAAGAATACGTCTACATGGTTTGGACAAAGCTTTGGCGTCCATAGCACAGACACCGATAGTACCTATCTTTGGCAATTTTGGTACATCTGCATGTGATTTTCTTGAAGCGTTTGAGGTATTTGAAATTGTCTTCATGATTCTATGACCATCTGAAAATGAATTTGAGTGCGATTTGATACCAGATAAATTTTCGGTAGTTAATGGCTGTACCAAATCGTCTTCACTTGGGTGACCAGAGGCTGAAGATATGGAGTTCAATCTGGAAACCGAATCTTCTGCATTTGTTTTTGGTGTATAGGCCTCTAACATCGGAGCTATAGAAGCCATTGCTTTCTCTGTCGTGGGAGTTGCATCTGTATGTTTGGTCATGCTGAGATGATCCAATGAAATAGATAATGGTGAGATTGGCTGACTTTTTGGTTTAACTGGAGGTGAAGCCTTTGTGCTACTATGTTTCTCAGTCCCTGGAACAGGGATAGGTAATGATTCAGATTTGTCACTCATGGGTACAATTGAACCAAATAAAGTTTTTGCTGCAAGTTTATGAAAAAAAGAAAATACAAAAAAACAACGGTGAAAAGAACGAAAAAAAAAATTGAGTGAGTGATTGAAAGAGAATTGAACAATTGATGAGATTGAATGTAATGTGGGATCCGCCCGCATCAATTCGTTTTTAGTGTTTCTTGGTGGAAAAAAAAAAAAGAAACAAAAAAATTCGCAAGAGAAAAATTGCTGCCAGAGTCAGAACGTGTTCAGTTTTCATCTTTGTGTTCTATTTAATAAATTATCTAATCTAATGTCTTGTAATCTATGTCTTATCGGTCTTGAAGAACCTTGCAAATAATCTACTCTTAGAAGTTGATCGTGATCTTGATCTCGTTTCTGGCTGTAATTCCTCGCGGTTACCTCTTCCTCTTTCTTCATTCACTAGACTTGTATATGATGAACTTCGAGAAACTGAAGGACTTAGTAACGAAGGCACTTTCTTTCTTATCACTCTATTTTCAATTTCATCGATATTCTTAATCCAATTCTCAAAATAATGTGGGCCATCTATTTCTTGTTTCAAAAACTCGACGTATTTGTATGTGGGTTTCACCAAAATAACTGGAACTAAAGAGTATTCCAAAATATGTTTCGACAACGAAGATTTTGCAAAACCACGGTGATGTTCTTTGCCATCATAGTGATGGGTTCCAATAACCATCATGGACGGTCTATATTCCTCAACGGCTGCACTCATGGCTTTTCTAGCCTTACCAATGGCAATTTGGTGGATTATTCGAACTTTTTTAAAATGTTGATTCAAACTTTCAAACATTGCAAGATTCTTCTCAGCTTTTCTCTTATCAATCGACTCGTTAATCTTTTCATCAAGAACCTGTAGGATCACTATAGTATCCCCATTGATAATCATTTCATCGAAAAGCCACTCGACTGCTTTTGAGGATTCCATATCTCCATTATACCCCACAAGATAAGTTTTATTTGTTCGACGAAATTTAAATAACGGATGTTTCACCTTGATAGTATATGACTTTTGATGGCCATGTGGTGATGTATCGAATGAAATGCCCCTTTCCATTGAATGAGTTCGTGGCATTGATGGTCTTGCCTTGAGAATAGGATCTTTAATTTCTGATGCTGGAGACATCACAGGTGATAATGTCATTGGAGTTGCAGATATCGAAGGTACTGGTGTGATACCAGAATCTGAATCAAAGTCATCGTAATACAATCTTCCCAACAAATCTGATGAATCATTTTCTTGACGATACAGATCTACCGAATCATTACTTGTATGGTATAATTCCGCATTTAACTGCGTATTTCGTAAAGTTTCATCATCAAATTCGATACCCTTATTACGATATGCAACGGTTCTGCAGAAGTGTCCAGCAGCTGTTTCACCGGTTCCGTAGAAGATGTCATTATTAGTAACTACCTACAAAAACAAGCAAAAGAGAAGGTAAAAAAAAATTTTTTTTTAATAATCAGGAAATATGTCCAAGGACAACAAAACAAAGAAACGGCGAGAAATGGGGCGTCGCGCTCTGAATGATATAAGATCTATGATTTGCAGAAAAGAATACATACGCTTGCACTATATACACGATACTCAGTTTAGGTCTTTTCACCAATTGGACCTACCATTATTCACACCACTATTGGTTTCAATTAAACCCCAGATTCTATCCATTTTAATTCCACCAATGTTATCCATAACATAGAATTCTCTTTTTTGTCCATCTCTGTTCTCTTCCCATGTAGCATAAGGAGAGTAGAATTTCGGTGGTGGCAGTAGTTTCAAGGACTTGTTGTCTGTAAGAGTTAACAATTCATTGTATGTTTTACTACCGGTGACGTTTAGTTTCTCCATGATGAGGTTTTCATCACTGACAAGGTTTTCCAACGTCTGGGGTTTAGTTTTATCATACAATCTAAAGATTCTTGTGACATAGTCCCTCGTCTTATAGTGAACCAAAGTGAACGGAGTGAAAGTCCCTATCAATGTAGCATATGCATATAGATCATCAAATTGAGGAGATTCGTAAAACAACTTTGCCCCATAAACACCCAAAACACCCACACTCAAGGTCAATCTTTTTAAAATCGACACATACTTAGTAGCCGGAGCTTCATAAATCGGCAGATAAGCCAATCTATACTTTTCTGGCATTTTGGTTTTCCCAATCTTGTTGGCTTCTTTTATATACACGGGATCATCTTCAATAGTTGGAGACCACGGGTTATTTTCACTTAGAATATCGTCAGTTTCAACAGTGCTATCAGAAGGATTGAAACTTCTCTTTGCATGGAATTTTGCAGACACCGAGAATGCACGATAACGGATGGATCTTGTAAGCATCTTTGTATTAACGTGATGATTATTAGGGAAGTTTAAAACAAAAACTATAGGAGAAAATTTCGAAATTTAGTTGTAGTGTGAAGACTCAAAAAAAAAATAGTAAAATTCCTCTCTGAGAAGAAGAAGAAGAAGAAGAAAAAAAAAAATCCTTTAACCAGAACAGACAAACAAACAAAAAAAAAAAAAAATCAAAGAGAAGGAAAATTTCAGAATTTTAATTCATCCTACCCAATCGCCATCCATTACTATTATATTTGTCACCATGGACGCAGACGCAACTAATAGATTTGTTCCCGAATATCGTCGTACTAATTTCAAGAATAAAGGACGTTTTCAAAGTGATGAATTGAGAAGAAGAAGAGAAACTCATCAAGTTGATTTGAGAAAACAAAAAAGAGAAGAAGTGTTGGCCAAAAGAAGAAACTTTACCAACGAAGGTAATGATTCTGAAGAAGAAGATGAATATGATGCCAATCAAAATAATGACGAAAATCAATTTTACATCAAGTTGAAACAAGATTTACCAAAAATGATTGAAATGATCCAAGCACCTGATTTCGATAGTCAATTAGCAGCAACAGTTAAATTCCGTCAAATTTTATCGCGTGAACACAACCCACCAATCGATATGGTTATTGAAAGTGGTGTCATACCTACCTTGGTTGAATTTATGAAGGAAGACCACCCAGATATGTTACAATTGGAAGCTGCCTGGGCCTTGACCAATATTGCCTCTGGTAACTCTTCTCAAACCAGAGTTGTTGTGGAAGCCAATGCCGTTCCTTTGTTTGTCAGATTGTTATACTCCCCATCTCTTGAAGTGAAAGAGCAAGCCATCTGGGCTCTTGGTAATGTTGCTGGTGATTCTTCTGATAACAGAGATTACGTTTTGAGTTGCCATGCTATGGAACCAGTTTTACAATTATTCAACTGCACAAAGATGTCCTTGATTCGAACTGCTACCTGGACATTATCCAATTTGTGCCGTGGTAAGTCCCCACAACCAGACTGGAACACAGTGTCCCAAGCAATTCCAACTTTATCCAAATTGATCTACTCAGTCGACGCCGAAACTTTAGTTGACGCGTGCTGGGCTGTTTCTTACTTGTCTGATGGTACCTCTGAAGCCATCCAAGCTGTTGTTGATGCCAGAATCCCACACCGTCTTGTTGAATTATTAGGTCATGAATCTACATTGGTTCAAACTCCAGCATTACGTGCCATTGGTAACATAGTCACAGGTAATGATTTACAAACACAAATTGTCATCAATGCTGGTGTTTTGTCTGCCTTGGCTCCATTATTAAACTCTCCAAAAGATACTATAAGAAAAGAAGCATGTTGGACCATTTCAAACATTACTGCTGGTACTAGTGACCAAATCCAAGCTGTTATTGATGCTAACTTGATTCCACAAGTCATTAGATTATTGATTGAAGGTGATTATAAGACCAAGAAAGAAGCATGTTGGGCTATTTCAAATGCTTCTTCTGGTGGTTTGACCAAACCAGACCAAATTCGTTACTTGGTCAGTCAAGGATGTATCAAACCATTATGTGACTTGTTAGCAATTGCTGATTCCAAAATTATCGAGGTTACATTAGACTCCTTAGAAAATATTTTGAAGATGGGAGAAATGGACAAAGAGGCTAGAGGAGCCCAAGTCAATGACTATGCATTGTACATTGAAGAAGCTGGTGGTATGGAAAAGATCTTTGAATGTCAAAACAATCCAAACGAAAAGATCTACCAAAAAGCATTCAATATTATTGAAAAATACTTTTCCGACGATGAAGGTCAAATTGACGATGAAAACATTGTTCCTGAAAGTTATGGCAATGCATTTGGTTTTGGTATGGACACCAACCAACAACAACAAAACTTCCAATTTTAATGTTATCAATAGTCAACCGCTATCTGGAGAACAGAAAGAAATATTATAACTACATAAATCAATTAAATCTTTACTCGAGCTGTATATTGCGGAATATTTTTAATTTGCGAACTTTTTCTTTGTCATCTCTTTGATGTTGCGTCCGTGCGTGGGCATTGAGTTGTTGGTTTGCTATCGGCACCCGGATAAATCATCGCTCTCTCTCTTTTTTTTATCCTTAATTTAGTTTTGCTTTGCATTCTTCTTCTTCTTCTTGTTGTTGTTGTTGTCACTTTTTATTATTATTATTATTATATATTATTATCAATATATACATTATTCATTCTCTTATTAACCATGTCTAGAAGAGTTGTGGGAAATCCAGTTATTATCGCAATTGATGTGGTTTCTGTTGCTGTTGGATTATATGGTGTTGTCAACGTGCTCAAGCTTGAACTATCAGAAGATTTGCAAAATGCTGGACATTTCCAATTCCTTACCAATTTATCATTGATTTATACTGTTGGGGTCTTTATCATCGGCTTGGTGGGTCACTTGACTAGATCGTCCTTTTTGTTTGATCTCAAAAACAATTTACACCCTGTTGCGTTGGCCCTAGAGTCAATAGTAGCAATTGTATACTGGCCATTGCGTCTATTTTGGTTAGAATTGTTGACAAAGAATCCAGAAAATTTCTCTCTTGCCTTGAGTGTTGACTTGTCGATTCATTTGATGCCAGTTGTGTCATTGTTAATTGATTACTTGGTGTTTATGCCACGTTGGACAATCAGAAATAACACAGCATTGGGGTTGATTACTTTTCTTACTACTGCCTACTGGTTCTTGTTGAAGTATTTGGTTGACACTGAGAATGGTGGAAGGTATCCTTATGCATTCATGGATATGGAAAGCGATGGATTGAGAATGGTTGTATTTGGTGTTGTTGGCGTGGTTGCCTTTTTGCAGTTTCTCTTTATGAGAAGCATTTACGACTTTATCGTTGCTAAAACTGAACTTGCTGATAGAGAAATCGATAGAGAGTTATCTAGAAAGAACTTATAAGATTTTATTTCCTATTCGTAAACTATTTAATGTAGAGTTGACAATGTGTCGATACCTGCTGCTACCTATTGGGTTGCCCCCGTACCATCTGGTGACAATCACTAACACATTTGTCGCATGGTGTTTGACTAGAGTTTCTAGTATTCTCATACCTGCTCCTTTCTCTCCGTTATCCTTGAATCCTTGAACTATTTGGTTGTCCTTTTCTACTCTCCATGCTAACATATGGGGATGACTGGCAGCTCGGGAAATGGATTTGTGTTCTTTTAAAAATGCCTTTAATATTTCAGGAATATCGTCAGGATTATTCAATTCAACATGTCGTGCTTGAAACTTTGATTTTCGATCAATAATCACCTCGGAGGCATTCCAGATGTACTTTTGTAGAAGTCTGGATCGTTTAAACATGGAGTATACTCGGCGTGTATAACTGGTCAAAAAAAATTAATAAAGACGATGAATGACGATTGAAAGCAAAGAGAGAGAGAAAAAAAAGTTTTGGTGAAAATTTTTCCAACTTAGATTGAACACACACTAACGAACCAACAATGATCTATCTTAAAACTATGTTAAATGTTATCGACAACTCTGGTGCCCAAGTTGTTGAATGTATTAAAGTCTTGCGTCATAAACCACATAGTTGTGCTCAAATTGGTGATAGAATAACATGTGTTGTTAAGAAAGCCAGACCTCCTCAACAAGAATTGGCTGGTCAAACTTCAAGTAATAGAGTCAAGAGAAGAGATATTTGTCAAGCTGTTGTTGTTAGAACCAGAGCTCCATTGAGAAGAAAAGATGGAAGTGTTGTTAGATTCGATGATAATGCATGTGTATTAATTAACAAGAATGGGGAACCATTAGGAACTAGAATTTCATCCGTGGTGGCCAAAGAATTAAAGGATTTGAACTACAACAAGATTGTCTCATTAGCTCCAAAGACATTTTAGATTTCCACTCATGAATTACTTGTATATAGGGAGAAGTTTTTATTGGAAAGTTTTAAATACATTATTTAGCTGAACATTAAATTCATCATTGGTGTCTTCAAGTGCGTTTGCAGCGTGGGATATCTCTTGTAGATACGGACCATATGGTCCTTCGAAATTATTGATAGATCCCAACTTGGATAGAAGATCTTGTAACATGAGTCTAATTTCGTTAAATGAAATATCTTTCAGTTGCATTTCTTCCAGTAGTATATCCAATCTCTCAGAGCTGCTTGAAATAAGTGCTTCATTTTCATTAAACAATTGTTGTAATTCCAAAACACGTTCCTCTATTGACATTTCGTGATAAGACAAACGGAAGAATGTAGGAAAGAATGGATAGAAGAAAAAAAAAGTTACGTGTTTTATTTACAGTACGTGAGTCAGGCGAAACCAGTAAGAGAGAGAGAGAGGGAGAGAGAGAAGAAGAAGAAAAAAAAAATGGGAAAATTTTTCATATTACATATTCTATCTATATACCAACAACAACAAACTATTTATTAAACCATGTCTGAAGTTGCTGACAAAGTCAAAGACATGTCTTTGAAAGAAGGCAAGAAGGACGGCAAGAAAAAGGCCGAAAAGAAACCTTCAAATGCATTGTACTTAGACCCACAACCAGAATTTATTGATCAAAGAATCGCCATGTTTGAACATTTCAAACAAAAATACGATGAAGAAATCAGCAAGAAAGAAAAGGTTCCAATTAAAGTTACTTTGAAGGATGGTTCAATTAAAGAAGGTACCGCATACGAAACCTCTCCAATGGATATTGCCAGCTCTATTGGTAAATCTTTTGCTGAAAGACAAGTCATCGCCAAGGTTGATGGTAAGTTGTGGGATATGCCACGTCCATTGGAAGGTGATGCCAAGTTGGAATTCTTGGATTTTGAACACCCAGAAGGTAAAGCTGTTTTCTGGCACTCTTCTGCCCATATTTTGGGTGAAGCCTGTGAATGCCACTATGGTTGTCACTTGACCCACGGTCCACCAACTGATGATGGTTTCTTCTACGATATGTCCATTAACAATGGTGAAACTGCTGTTACTCAAGCTGATTTCCCAAGTTTGGAACAAGTTGCAACCAAGGCCATCAAGGAAAAGCAAAAATTCGAACGTTTAGAATTGACCAAGGAACAATTATTGGAAATGTTCAAATACAACAAGTATAAGATCAAGTTTATCAGTGACAAGATCCCAGATGGTACTTCTACCACTGTTTACAGATGTGGTCCATTGATTGATTTATGTGTCGGTCCCCACATTCCACAGTCTGGTAGAATCAAGGCATTCAAGGTTTTGAAGAACTCTGCTTCCTATTTCTTGGGTGATTCTAACAATGATTCCTTGCAAAGAGTCTATGGTATTTCTTTCCCAGATAAGAAATTGATGACTGAACATTTGAAATTCTTGGCTGAAGCCGCTGAAAGAGACCACAGAAAGATTGGTAAAGAACAAGAATTGTTCTTCTTTAGTGAGATGTCACCAGGTTCTGCCATGTGGTTGCCACACGGCACTAGAATCTACAATACTTTGGTTGAAACTTTGAGAGAAGAATACAGAAAGAGAGGTTACGACGAAGTCATTACTCCAAACATGTACTCCACTAAGCTTTGGGAAACTTCTGGTCATTGGCAAAATTATAAGGAAAACATGTTTTCTTTTGAAGTTGAAAAGGAAACTTTTGGTTTGAAACCAATGAACTGTTTGAGTGAAGATATGAGAGTTCAAACCAACAAGGGTTTCTTAGGATTGGATGAAGTCAAGGACCAATGGAGAGATTTGAAATTTGCCAACTATAACCCAGAAACCAAACAAATCCAATACTTGCCTGCTTCAAACTTTATCTTGAAGGATGCTGCTAACCACAAGATGGTTGAATTTTCTGATTATGACATCAACTCAGATGCCCATGGCAGCTTCTCATTGTTTGTTACTGACAATCATGACATGTATGTCCAAACTGGTCGTGTTGACAAAGAAGCTGGCGACATTAACAGAATTGTTTACGAAGAAAACCTGGAATTTTCTAAAGTTGAAGCTTCTCAACTTGTCGGTAGCGGTAAAGGTATCCGTTTCACCACCACTGCTCCAAACGGTATCGACATTGCTTCTGTTGCTTCTTACAAACAAGTCGTCAGTGAAAATCAACAACAAACCTTCTTGGAACTTTATGGTTACTGGGTTGGTAATGCTGATAAAGTTGGCGAAACTGGTGTTACTTTCACTGCTGCTAACGAAGCTAACTCTGCTTGGTTGAGCAAAGCTATCAGTGAATTGGAAGGCAAAGTTGACGGAACTACTATTACCGACTCCAAATTGAGTGCATTATTCAATGGTAGCGAACAATCATTTGCCGAATGGGTTTGGGACCTTGCCAAAGATGAACTTAGATCAGTTGTTCATGGTTTTGCTAGAGCCAGTGGTGATGAAAACAAAAAGATCTATACCTCCTCCGTTATTTTGCGTGATGAATTGGTACGTGTTTTGTTGCATGCTGGTTATACTTCAAGATTTGAATTGAACGCCACTAAAGGATGGGAAATCACTTATGTTGAAGATGTTGCCCAATGTGTCAACCCAGTCTTGTATTCTGACAAGAATGTTAAAGTTGTTGATGATTACTTTGGTAGAGTCTGGTGTGTCACTGTTCCAACTGGATTGATTATTGTTCAAAGAGTTGTCAAGAATGCCGAAGACGTTGTTGTTAAAGCTTCTAGACCTACAATCGTTGGTAATTGTCCAGGTCACGCTGTTATGTTCAAATCAAGAGAACGTTCTTACCGTGACTTACCATGGCGTGTTGCTGATTTTGGTGTTATCCACAGAAACGAATTTTCTGGTGCTCTTAGTGGTTTAACCAGAGTTCGTCGTTTCCAACAAGATGACGCGCACATTTTCTGTACTGCTGACCAAATTGGTACTGAAATTGCTGGTGTTTTTGATCTTTTGAAGAAAATGTACGGTATTTTTGGTTTTGAATTCAAGATGGAATTATCCACCAGACCAGAAAAATATGTTGGTGATTTGGAAACTTGGAACGGTGCTGAACAAAAATTGGAACAAGCTTTGGATGAGTTCTTGGGTAAAGGCAAATGGGAATTGAACCCAGGTGATGGTGCTTTCTACGGTCCAAAGATTGATATCATGATTAGTGATGCTTTGAAGAGATGGTTCCAATGTGCTACCATCCAATTGGATTTCCAATTGCCACACCGTTTTGAATTGGAATACAAAACCGACAAGGGTCCAACTTCACGTCCAGTCATGATTCACAGAGCTATCTTGGGTTCCGTTGAAAGAATGACTGCTATCTTGACTGAACATTACAAGGGTAAATGGCCATTCTGGTTGTCTCCAAGACAAATTTTGATTGTTCCAGTTGGTCCAAAATACTACGACTATGCTCAAACACTTCAAAAGAGATTGAATGACGAACACTCATTCTATTGTGATGTCGATGTCAGTGGTAACACTTTGCCAAAGAAGATCAGAACTGGTCAAATGTACAAATACAACTTTATCTTTATTGTTGGTGACGAAGAAGAAAAGAGCAACAGTGTTAATGTTAGAAACAGAGATATTCCAGAAGAACAAGGTAAGAATGCCATGGTCAAGGTCGATGATGTTATCCAACAATTGTTAGATTTGAAACAATCTAAAAGAAGCGACAATAAATTGGTATAGAATGTTGTAGAATATAAGTAAATGTATACGAGTCAAGTATTAACTAACGACACATGTGACTGTAGCGTAAAAATTTCTATAAAGCTCATTTGATTCGTAGAAATGGTTAGTTTCATTTTGTATTAATGCGAAAATGTATGGAAAATGAGAGAGAAAAAAAAAAAGAAAAAGAAAATTCTTCTTTCCAATAAAAAGGGCAAAAATTGATTTCCCCAGAAACCAATGACAGAAACCAATCCATTGAGAGAAAGACTTGGTGCAACCAAGTTTGACCAAGCAGTTCAATTCTACGAAGCTGATCAGAAACTAACACCCGAAGACCGTGTACAATTAAGAGATGATATAAAACAAGTGTTGGTAACAGAGAACATCTATTCATACTCCGCGGGAATTGCTGCGTTCATAATGCCTACAATCTACTTTAGGTTCTTCAACAAGGCTGCACTCAATCCTAGATCGTTTATTCAGAAACCATTGTTATCTGTTGGATTGGGAATGGCAAATCTGTATATGATGTTTCAGATATACGCCAAGAACTTGTATAAAGAGAAACTTGATCTGAACTTACCAGAAAGTCAGATGAATATATGGAAGACCATGGATAGAAACCTGTTGGGGATTTATTTGCTTTACTATGCCAAGTCGTCCCAGGATCCATTAGAAAGAGTGCCAGATCCACGAAGTTTCACGGCTGACCAAGTTAGGTTTGATCCTGAAAAGTACAAACGAGCCGAAGGACCAGACCATGTATTGACGACATGGGATAGGATACGTCTTAATAATGGTCTTGATATCACTGCTACTACTGAAGAACCCAAGTCAGGTAGTGCTTGGGATGAAATAAGAAAGAAGTAACTAGGTAATCAGATCGAACGTGATTATGAAGAAAAGTTTGTTAGTGTTGGTTTGACATGGTTCAACTATGTAGTTTTATTTACATGACCAAATATATAAGTTATTTGTGTATTAATAAGGTACACACATTTGAGTCTTCTTTACCATTGTTGGTATTAAAACCGACATATACTGGAATCTTTCCAGCAAACTGCTATAAACGTGTAGCAAGTTAGTAATAGTATGTTTTAGAAGATCGGCAAAAATTAGACAAATTCAAAAACATTCAATCGTATTTTCAGTTCCTGATGGTACTATATATATTATCCAGGTTAGTTTTTGAACCAGGTTTGTAATCCTTGATGTCTCTTACTGTTGCTTGAAGCTGATTGATGTTCTTCACTTAATGGGTTTCCTTCCGTTGGCGTAGTCATAAACATATAGTGGTTGTTTTCAGTTGTGAGGCTTGTAAAGACTATGTCAATGAATGATAATGATCTTCCAAATATGACATGATTCCTATGGTAAGCTACCCAAAATAGTCCACACCGGCAGCAAGCTAACGTCAAGGATTTATAATTGCATCTAGCTCGTCTTGAAATGTATAACATACCCCGGAGGATGTCACGATCACTGGTGGCACCCTGCTGAAAATCCAAATATTCAATTAGAAAAAAAAACAGAATACAACTAATGGTAGGAATACTTGAAATGTTGTTGTATTTATATATTAATAAAAAAACAAGGGGTTGGATGCTAAAAAGAATGATCATTCCCCATGTAAAACATTTTGAAAAAATACGTGTGGGGAAAATTATACGACGTGGTTGTAATGCAAGACTAGTATTGGTGTAGACATTCAAAATTCGTAAATCCGTGTACTACAACAATGGTTTGACATGGAGGGGATAATTAGTCGACTTTTCAGTGCTGTAATTTATTTATGTTGTCACCGATGGTGCTTTAGGGTGACAGAAGTTAGACAACTGTGCCATACATTGGAGATGTAGATAGTGTTCAAACCAAGAGACAGCATTTCAGGAAGCAATATTAATTCAAGGCAGGTTTTGGAACTCCCTGGATGAAATTGGAATGATATAAAGCTTGGGAGTAAGGGTAAACATCCACTGCAGGTGACAGTTTGACATGTCTTATAGGCGACACTATTCTAGGGGCAGCAATCAGAACCAGGTTCGATACAATATGAGAATTTCCTGTCGTTATAAAACGTATTACAAATGAAACGGAAATCCTCTTGACCTCATAGGACCACACGTTGGTTTAGACAGTGGGATACAAGTAGTGATTTATTTTGAAACCAAAGATATTGACCAACTGAAGAAGTCTACATATATGTTGAAGAAGTATGCTTGTTGTTGATATTTGTATCCATGAACATTGGCTGAAGATGACTACTCCAAGAGGACAAATTATTCTTACTTCCCCCCCCATCAGAGAGGAGGAATCTTCCAGATTTATAGGGTATACAGATGTCCCTACACATGAAGATAGTAATCAGCTTTCGAGAGCATCTACATACCCAGGGGAAAACCATTCGTTTCATGGAATTGCTGACTAATGTGCATTCACATCAAGTGTAGACAGAGGAACAAGTGGACTGGTTCACCTTTGTATTGAATACACAACCAGTATTAACACTAAACCAAAGAATGGTAAAGAAGCACCAATGAATTGCTATCGAATTTTGTAGAACAAAAATGCTTATGCACCGCGGGTTATTTCGATTAAGAGCAAAAGATATAAAAAGCCGGGGGTATTTCGCTTCAGGAGGTTTGGAAAAATTTATATATTCTTTCTTTCACAATTTATTCATTAACCATGTCAAATCCATTACAAGAGGTGTTAACTCCTGCTCAATTCCAACAATGTGTCAACTTCTATGAGGCTGATCAGAAATTAGATCACGCCGAGCGAGTTTCATTAGCCAATCAATTACAATCAATTGCTTTGAAAAGCAATGTCGCTGGGTATGTTGCCGGTATGGTTGGTTTTAGTTTGCCAACTATTTATTATGGTATGAGAGGACTTCGTCCAACTCCTTTATTTGCTGTTCAAAGGCCATTCTTTTCTTTAGTGTTGGGATTTGGTACATTAATGGCGGGTGGTAATCTTACTGCAAAGTACTTGTATGAAAAGGCTAAACAGGAGAAGTACACAGACCCAAATATTTCTAATGTTTGGAAGACTTTAGAGTTTCCTGTGATGAATTTTTACACTTTTTATTATACAAGAACTGCCATGTTCCCACTTTTCATTATCCGTGATCCAAGAACTTGTACGTACCTGGCTGAAAAACAAAATCCACACTTCACTGAAGCTTTGAATCTTGGTCAAACCGATAATACTGGAAAAGAGCATCCATTGTCTGTGTGGGATAAGGTTCGTATCAATCATGGGTTTAATCCATCAGACCCAAAGAAGTAGTAGTTTTGTAGTAATGCACAGTTTTCTTGAGTTGTGAAAAGCTTAAACTGGTTGAGGGGAATGTCTCTATGATGGGTGTATCCTATCTTAGTAATTCACCTGGGTATCACCTCGACAGATGTAGCCAAATCAGGTAGTTGTTAGGTGAAAGAAGGTCAACAGGGAACACGTAAATCGCATGAAAAAATGATACAACGAAAAAAAAAAAAAAAAAAAAAAAAATTCAACGAAGTTCTTCTACAACAACAAACTATTACCTACTTAGCCAACAATGGATGCATTTAGTGATTCTGGTGAATTATACACCCTTAGAAACCAATTTTATACTAATCAACACAATAAAGTCAAGTCATACTCCCTTGACCTGTTTTCTCCCGAGAACCAGTTGAAGGCTTTAGAGTTCCAAATTAGATCCACCATTGCCTTGGAACAAGATGCTTCCAAGATGATTGAAGATGGAAAAACCGAATTCCCAGGAAACGAACCATTATTTCAGTTATTGAGTGCATGGAACGACTTGAAGGATTTTGGTGTTGATGATTCTACATATTTCGAAGATGTCAAAAAGGCCACTTTTGAATTACAAGCTGTCATGACTGCTTTATACTTGGTTAAGTTCGATAAAGATATCGACCAAGCAATTGTTTTCTTGAATGAATATATTGACAATGTCAACTCTTTGGCTAAATACAATGAATTGGAACCATTTTTAGTGTTGGTACAATTATACTTGATCAAAGGTAACCTTGTTGGAGCTTCCAGAGTTATCCAAAATTTGAACCATTTCCCAGAATCAGCTCGTGATAACATCATTTACCAAGTAATGGAATCGTGGATATTAGCTGTCACTGGTGGATCTGATAATATCAACAACAGTTATTACTTTTACGATGAAATTATGTCCAACGATTTCGACGACGATGTCCAAGGTAAGTTTAAGATATTAAATGTTATTTTTGCCTTGACTTTGCAATTGAAGCATTATCCAGAAGCACAAGAGATTTTAGAACAGATCAAGGGTTTGGGAATAGTAGATGCCGACTTTATTGCCAACCAAATCACATTCGACCAGTTGCACAACAATGGGGCTAATTCCAAAGAGTTGTTGGGTGAATTGAAGAAATTAGACAGTGATCATGAATTATTGAAAGATTACGAACAAAAAACCAATATATTTGACGAGATTGTTACAAAGTACTCTATTTAGACAGCTTCAACTTCAGCTTCCGGTGCAACGCTGTTTTCATCGTCGTGTATTTTAATAACATCACCGTTTTCATTAAATTTCAAGCCTTCGGCCAATAATCTCTTTTCAATCTCCTTAAGTTCGTTTTCTCTTTCGAGCAACTCTTTTCTCTTGTTGATCAAATCTTGGTGGACTCTCTCCTCAAATTTTCTTAATCTTTCTTCTTCCAATTTGATCTGTTCTTCCTTCATAAGGTAATCGGATTCACCAATCTCCTGTTTAGAGGTTTCGCTATTGACGTATTGGAACTGTTTGCCCAGCAATGCTTCAGTTCTGTAGTTTTCGTATATGGAGTCGTGGGTGATATCTTTAAATTCATTCAAGTGGGTGATTAACAAGACGTTCTTCAAAATAGTAAAATCATTGATTTCGGCATTGTCGATGTTGATTGGTTTCAAATCTTTTTGTAAAATTCTCAACTTTAAGATATCTTCTTCGTCATCGGCTCCGTTTGGATTAGCTCTGTATTCGTTAGCACCAATAATGGCAAAAGGGATCAAGGAGTTTAAGTATTTGTTGTATTCGATAATTTCCTCATCAATATAATCTTGTTCGTAGTCGTATTCGTTAAATTTGTAGAAGTTGATACCATAGTTATTCAAGTCCTCTAAAATCAACTGCTTGTTTAATTTTAATTCACCTGGGGTTAAGGAATCGGCTTTGGCAATGATAGGAATGATGTTGACCAAGTTGTTGACGTGTTGCAAAAATTTGACATCGATATCTGATAAACCATGACCAGTAGGGTTAATCATATAAATCAACACATGGATTCTTCCGTCTTTAAATCTTGGGTTTCTTTTGACTCTGCTTTCTTCCAACAATACTTCATCAAATTGGTGTCTGATGAAATCAACAATGATCTTGAAATCGTCGTCACAGTTGATCAGATTTGCGAAATTTGGGGTATCAATAATATTTAAAGAAATCTTGTGACCTTCGTTATCTTCCAATTCAACATTTTCATGTCTCAATGTCAACTTTTTGGTGAATGGATCTTGACTGGCTGTCAGTGATGTTGGAACAATGGAGTTACCACCACACAAGGTATTGATCAAAGTCGATCTTCCTGAACCACTTTCTCCAATGATCATAATGGAAAAGTTGATGGATTTCTTTAATGTTTTTCTTTTACGCAAAGCAGCAGATGATACATTCTCTGACGAATAGTTCATAGTGTATTAGATGGTTAAAGGGGGGGGAGGAATTGGTGTATTGATTGATTACAAAGAAAACAAAACAAAAAAAAAAAAAAATTTTTTTTTCTGAGAGAACTTGGAAAAAGTGACGATACTTTTTAGGAAAACAAAAACAAAGACACGTTAATCGTGAAAACACCAATTCAACGCGGGTTAGTTAAGAGAATGAAGAGAAAAAGAAAAAATTACAAGTTTATTTTTGTTTTAAACATTCCATGATGAAATCATCAATGGTTAGTACTGTGTACAATGGCAAACTACCGTCGTTGTTGTTATCGGATCCTAATGGGATATTCACATGGTGTCCACATTTGAACTTGATATTTGTGTCGATGAACAAGACCTCGATATGGTGTTATAGAATCAATGGGGAGAGAATATATTCAATTAATAACAAATCATTTATCAAAAACATTGCATTTCACAATCAATTCTTTTGTTTATCTGGTGTGGATAATCTAATCAAGTTTTATAATTCAAACAATGGTCAATTGGTTAAAGTATTGGATGATGAATTATCGAATGTAAAGTTTTTGCAATGGAATGAAACGGAGTTTGTGTTGCCGGTGCTGAACTTGCCCAAAGTGTATGATTTAGTCCATGATTTGAATTATTTGGTGATCAATGATGATAAGTCGTTGACATTTAGTTTCAACCAGTTATTGACGGTAAAGTATGAATGCGATGTAACCATTCAACAGCAATTGGGAACGGATTTGTTTGACCAGGTGTACTTGGCAGATAATAGTTTGGTCAATGTCAAGTTTAATGTGGAGAATAAACAGATGTATACCCAGCAGATTATAAAAGTGTGCCAGTTGATTAGTCTAGTGGAGTATACTGAGAAACATCTCAAAGAGTTGGAAGGGATTGTTACTCCATTTGTGCAAGCATTAGACAGGTATATGTCGAACTTGAAGTCAGAGTGTAAAGACGACGACATGGCGATGTATCTTACGGATTTGTTGCTAACCAATGTTGTTCCAGAATTCTCCAAGGATTTCTGGTTAAACCAGTATGGGGAGAGGGGGTATAAGAAGTTGAGTAAACTCTCTGGGGTGTATGAGCTGGCAATTAAATTGACGTTCCAGCACTTGGTATCATCGATGGAGAGAATCATTATTGTGTTGTGTGATTTGATTGGGATATCGAAATGGCAACATGGAATGATGCCTGTGGTAGAGTTGGAGAAGTTGTTGGTGATTGCCAAAGACCAGTTGAAGTTTTACTACAAGTTTATTTGGGATTTGCAAGCGGAGAAGTCGCAATTTCAAGAGTTCCTAAACTGGACAAAAACTATTATTGATATGTTGAATGACCAAGAGTATGAGATAAACTATTCTACTACAAACGTGTTGACTTTTGTGACAAGTACTATTGAGGAATGTGCAATTATGAAGTATTTTAGTCTTGAGTTGGACGTGGTGGGAAACAACAACAAGACGTTGATGGAGAATAGGATTGTTTTGGATATGACCAGTGTAAGAGAGTACCACAAAGGAGTGATTTCGCTTGAGAAGATTACTTTGCTTGATGTTCCTGAATCTGCAACCAATCTAAAGTTGGCCAAATGGGAGGGGGAAATTGTTATAACGTATATACAAGATTCTAATTTGGTGATTGCTAATCTACATAGTATTGTGACTACAGTGCCACATGTGGTGGCATTTGAGCATAGAGAGGGGGATTTGGTAGCGTTGACAAGAACGGGGTCGTTGTTGATTATCAACTCGTCGTCGTGTATACCAATACCATTACCATCTATGAGTTTTACACCTGCAAGTGTAAAGCTAAACGCGTCATACGGAGTGCTACTAGATTCAGCACGACAGAATTATTTAATTTTCAAGGTTTAATACATATTTGTTGTCTTGTAGGTAGTACTGTTTATGTAGATAATCACTGATGATTTCATGAACTTCCTCGGTATTGGGGACAAACTCACGTCGGAGTAAGGCACGGGCCGTGGCACTTCTGGAGGAGTCAATCGAACGGTGCTTGGCGATGTGTTTGAAGAAAGATTTGTTAATAGGAAGGGATTGTCGATGGATATGAAGTAAACGGTCAAGTGATGGTTTAGTTATTGGTGGGAACTCGTTGATGACTTTCTTGACTAATGATAACTTTTCTCGGAGTTGTTTGTCACGATTGATGGGGTGTTGATCTGTACCTAATGCAGAAGGGATATAGAGCACTTCCATGACGTGTTTTGACACACCAAAAACCCCACGATTGGAGATGATGAAATTGTACAACTGGTTTACACTGTGGATGATTGAGAAAGTTC